GGCATCCCACAGGGTTTTTCGAGCACTACCAGGAGTGACCAGGTGTGGCCCAAAAACCAGAAAGAAAGAGATGAGGATCTTGACATGGGTCTGAGAGCCACAAGTAGTAGCTGCATCATTGATTCTGCGTGCATCATTCATTCTCTCTGGCCACCACCAAAGGTGGAAGAATGGGTGCCAGGCCATGGCAGCTCATGGGGGTGCACTCCAAAAGATCAAAGAACTCTTTTCACAAGTGTTAGGGGACCCCAGAGGCCAGCAACATGGCTCGGGCGGCAGAGCGTGTGTCTAACAGAGATGTTCTCCCCCGTACTCCCACCTCACCCTGCAGGCGACACTGTGGGCCCAGATGGCCAAGACACCCATAGCAGAAGGGGAAAATAATAATAAGGCAGGTGCCTCTGCACTACAGATGTATTTACCACACCTCACTGCATAACCGTTTCAGATCTTTATACTCCCCCTTTTTTGGCAATAACAGGGGGCAAGGGCACTGGAGAGAGATACTACAGCGGGCCAGGCACTTGGGGACTGGAATTGACCTCTGGTGCCACAGATGGTCTCCCGAGCACTGCCAGGCATGATTCCTGAGCACGGAGCTGGGAGAAAGGCCTGACACAGCTAGGTGCGCCCCCCACAAAACAAAACAAAAGTAAAATGGCAACAATCATGCAATGACATGATCGGAAGGGCCCAGGAGGCTAGGGGCCCAAGCCGCTTCAGGTGGGGCAGAATCTGTCTCCACACGCTGGGTGGTGGCTTACCTGGACAGCGGCCAGCTTCAGGAAGTACGTGACCATCTCCTGTGCGTTGAACTCGGGGCTCTCCTTGTCCTCCACCAGGGGGCTGTCGGAGCAAACAGTGTCCCAGCACATGCCGTCCGGCGGGTTATACATGTTGGGGAGCACACCTGCAGAGCACACCAGGCTTGCAGGGTCAGGGAGGAGGTCTGGGGACCCCAGACCTACACCGGAGCCAGAGCTGTCTGGGTGCTTCCAGACTCTGCCTGTGATAGGTTCCGGAATGTTCTGCGCCAGGGCATGAGGCAAATGCTGGGCCCTAGGGGCTAGGGTCATGGCTCAGGGGCTGGAAGACAGGTCAGCACCTCATGCCCCCAGCACCTCGAGGGTGACCCTGAGCACTGAGCCACAGAGTAGCCTTTGATTTTTATTTGTTTATTTTTGGGGTTCCACATGGCGATGCTCAGGGCTGACTCCTGGCTCTGTGCTCAGGGATCCCTCTGGCGGTGTTAAGGGGACCCTATGGGATCCCAGGAATTGAACCCGGGTCGGCTGCGTACAGGCGAAGGCCCTCCCTGCTGTGCTATCGCTCTGGGTCCCAGGACTAAGATTTGCGCATTACCAGGGCATCGCCCCCCTCAATCAAACCAAAGCAAACCACCTGGGCCCAGCCCGTACCAGTGAAGAGGTCGGCTGTGGGGGGCTGGAGGCTGTCGCTACCCCGCCACACCTGCTCCATCTCCCGAGTCGCCTTCCGCGCCACTTTATCTTGATAGTCGATGCGTCCCAGGAAGAAACCGTCAAAGCCCATCTGGGGGGACAGGGCGGTGGTGGGTGGGCAGAGTCTGAGGAAGTCTCAGCCTTTTCCCCACCCTCCGGAGGGAAAACTGGGAAACACCCTCCCCATTTCAAGGCACAGGGAAGTGTCAGAAGTTTGTATTTTGGGGCTGGAGTGATAGCACAGCAGGCAGGGCGTTTGCCTTGCACGTGACCGACCCGGGTTCGATTCCCAGCATCCCATATGGTCCCCTGATGCACCTCCAGGAGTAACTCCTGAATGCAGTCAGGAGTGACTCCTGTGATCAATGGGTGTGACCCGACCCAAAGAGAGAGAGAGAAAAAAGAAGTTTGTATTTTGCTTCTGGGCCATACCCGGAGATGCTTAGGGTTTAACTCCTAGCTTGGTGCTCAGGGATCACTTCCAGTGGTGCTTGGGGGACCTTATGGGGTGCCTGGCATCGAACCAGATTGGCCGCATGCACAGCCAGCGCCCTCCCTGCTATGCTACTGCCGTGGCCCCACGTCAGAAGCTGGGAACCCAGCTCAAAACCATTACCTCCTCCTCCAGCTCAGCCTGACCCCAGGATTCCCCACAGTTGGGGGTACCATGCAAGAAGTCAGAGTCACTACCCAGGAGAGGGGGGCAGTAGAAACACCCCACACAGGGGGGAACCAGCATCAGAGCACCCAAGAGCCAGGCCTCAGCTCCAGGTCAGGGGCGGTCAGGGGATGGGGCTTCAGCCAGGAATTAGTCCAGAATGAGGGTAGGGACAGTGCTGGGTATCCAGGTCACTCAAGAGGTCAGGCCTGTCTGGAAGGACAGGGAAGGGGGGCCCTGAGCAGTTCAGCCAGTGACCAAAGGGCCTGGCTCTCACCTGAGCAAACAGTGAAGCCTGTTCCCTGGAGTGGCCAAAGGGGTCGATGTGCCAGGCCACTAGGGGGCGCCCGTCCACGCCGAAAGTGTCTTCCAGGAAGTTAAGGCCCAGGGTCATCTGGTCAATGATGGCTCCGTAGTGGGTGGCTGCCTCGTCGTTCATCACCCAGCCACCGTTGGCAAACTCGAGGCGCCCTAGACAATGAGGGGCAAAGTTCGAGTCGTTATCAGGACTCAGGATGTGGCCAGGATTGGGGTTGCTGCATATAAGGTGCATCGTCAAGAGGGTGGGTGATGGAGGGGTCTGTCCTGGGTTGGAGTAGCCGGGGGGTACAGAGGGAAACGGGTCATGTAGGATCCAGCAGAAGGGGCCATCGGACGTGGGGTTTTGCTGGATGCATAGGAGTTCTCCTGTACAAAGGAGAATCCCAGGCAAAGGAAGATCTTGTGACAAGTTGTTCAGACCCTGATCATATCGCGCCGCAGCCAACCACAGAAGAAGCAGAAATAGTCAGGGCTTCCTCTTCTCACTTCCTCCTGGCAGGCTCACCCTGGCGCACCAGCTCCCGCACGACTTGCTGCGTTGCGTTGGTCTGCTGGTGCCACCAGCGCGCGAAGAAGGCCATCTCTACGTAGACGAAGCGACGGGAGGGATCCGCCAGTAGCTCAGAGATGACTGAGTCCAGGATGTACTGCACGCCCGCATGCTGGATGTCATTTCTGACTGTGGACACAGGAATCAACGTGCCATCAGGGGTGGAGGGCAGCCCAGGCTGGCGGGGATCCAGGAAGCATTTCAGGGGCTCAGTGGGGTTATAGGGATCCCTGGGCCCGCCACTGCCTTCCACTCTCTACTCACTGCCGTAAAAGTATTGGTCCACAGTCTTGAGCCAGCCCACATCATCGTGAGTGTGGGCTATTAGGTGTACGTTGAGCATGTCTGGCATCACACGGGGGCATGTCTGCATGGGGACCCCAAACACAAACCTGGTCAGTAATCCCCCAGGGAAGAGGTATGATGGGGCAGAGGCAGACCGGGTAAATTGTTTTGTTTCCTTTTGCCACACCCAGCAGGCTAACTCCACACGCTGAGCTCAGGAATAGCTCCTGGCAGGATTCTGGGGTTCCTATGTAATGTCAGGGATCGAATTCCGCGTGGGCCACGTGCAGAGCAAGTTCCCTAAACCCGGATCTCTCTGACCCCGGCCAGGCTAGTTTTAACCAAGAAATCAGCTGATTCAGAGGGAAGGGGGCGGAGGCCCCTGGGGGGAGGGCGGGGAGAGAGATATCCTGAGACCTAGCCCTTAGCACTATCCCTCAGGGCAGCTCGAACGCGGTCAGCGGAAAGTTAAGGACTTTGCGGGGTCGGAGAGAGAGTCCAGCGCGAGGGGCTTGTTAGACAAAGTCCAGGTGATGCCCAGAAGCCGGGAAGCAGGTAGGACAGTCGCAATCCGAAGCGCTCAGCGACCCAGTCAGACCGCACAGTTATCTGAACCCTCCGCCGCGCGCCCCCAGAACAGACCCACCCGCGCCCCGTGAACCCCACCTCGGGGCCTCCCTCCGGCCGGTGGACATTTCCGCTCCTGGGCCCCACTCACCTTGTAACCCGCCGCCCGGGCGCCGGGCGCCGCCAGCAACAGCGACAAAAGGAAGCAGAGAGGCGGGAAGAGCGGCCGCAGTACGCGGGGGTTCGTGCAGGGACCCCAGGCGCCCCGGCCGCCCCCAGCACGGACCCTCGATGGCCACGCGTGACTGCCCATGGCTGCGCCGCCGCCGCCACTTCCCGGGGTTCCCGGGCGCGACCCTAGTCGACAGAATGCCCCGCCCCCTGGAGGTTCAGCCAATGGGTGCTCCAGGGGGCGTGGACAGGGGCGTGGTGAAGCAGGGGCGGGGCGTCATCGGACCTGGGCTGAGCTCAGCGCAGACTTAGCCCCTTCGTGAAGCTGGTTTGCCTAAATGAGTCTTTAGTTTGCTTGTGGCATGGAGCATCCCTTATGTCCCTGTGCGAGCAGAGGTCGTTTTCCTAAAGGTGTGCCCAGGGAACGAATGTAGGGGATCCTGGGGTGTCCTCTTCTAGCTTCAGGCTAGGTTTGGATGGGCCCTGGTCACGACCTGGGGGCATTAAGACCTTGGGTAAAAAAACTGCACTCAGCCTGTCCCCACAGTTCCAGTCCCTACCAGTCCAGTTTGAAGAGATAACTTCACCCCTTCCTGTGATAAGAAAACTCAGGCATAGGGCCAGATAGATAAGACAGCAGTTAAGATGCAAGCCTTGCATGCAGTACCAGGACTGACCGTGCATACCACTTATGGTCCCCTGAGTGCCCCCAGGACTGATCTCTGAGCACAGAGCAGAAGTAAGCCCTGGGCACCTGGACAAACTACCCAACAACTTAAAAAAAAAAAAGTTCAAGTCCTAACCGAAGCAAGTTATCTGCTGAACTGTCATTTGCAGGTAGCTGGTTTGGGCCAGAAAGCTTATGAAAGAAGCACAAGTGAACCCACAGATGGTTCCAGACTGGGGCCGCACCCTGGCTGGACTGAGTGGAACCTGGGGGCCCATCCGCTGCTGAAAGGCTCTGGGACGCACAGAAAGAGGTCAGAGGGCAGGTGATTGCAAAACTTTATTAGTAACTGGATCTTATGAGAAGACCAGAGACAGGGATGGTATCTCCAAGCAGCGGCAGGTAGGGCTGGCTGTTGCCTTGTCTGCCCCAGTGGGAGAAGGACACGGCCTGACTCCCCCTGCACAGCCACAGTCCCCTGAGATGACCTCGCCCGGCCAGAGCAGCAGGTGAACTGGACAGTCCTGGAGGGCAGTGGGTGGAGGAGTCCGGGAGGTGACCCTCTGGGCCAACATCACCAGGGCGGCGTCATGGGCTGTGGGTTCTGCAGATAGGACATCACCACCGCTGAGATGGACAGCATGAAGCTACTCATCATCTGCTTCGTGTCTTCAGAGCTCCGGGAGTTGGCAAAGCTGATGAAGGAGCAGTAAACTGCGACCCAAGCGCACCACTTCAGCTGTGGAAAGATGCAGAATTAGATCGGAAAGAAGGGCATGCCCAGGCCCAGTTTCCAGTCCACCAGCTCCACCCAATGCATCTCTGAAGGGGCCTGCTGTGACCCCTCACCCCCAGCTACTGCAAAATAGCCAGCTTTTTTTTCCTTTTTTGGGGGGGAGGTCACAACCGGCGATGCTCAGGGGTTACTCCTCGCTCCGCAATCAGGAATTACTCCTGGCGGTGAACAGCCAGCTTTTGGTCCTATATCTGGCCATCCTGCTGAGAATCCCACAAGACCCCAACCCAGCTGCATTCAGCTCCACCCGGGCAAGGGGAACCCTCTCCCCCACCACGCCCCCCACCCTTCGGGTCCAGCTTTCTCCGCCCACTTCACCCGGCCCCGCCCCCTGCCCCGTGGTCAGGTGGAGCCACTGACGCCCAGTCCCGCCCACCTTGAGCATGAGCCCGCACATGCTAAAGATCATGCCCAGCAGATTCATGTAGTCTGGCGTCGGATCGTCCAGGGCCGGGTTACACTCGCTTGGCGGGGGCTTGTACCTGCGGCGGGCACAAGGGTCAGGGCAGGTCAGAATGGATTTCTGAGGCCCTGGGCCACGACCCCCAACCCGAGCCCCGTTCCCTCGGGGTGCTCACCTCAGCACTTTGTTCGGCCTCCGTGGGTCCGACATATTGTTCGTGGACATGGCGAGTGGAAGGTCACGCCTCTTCCGGAGCTGGAGTGGCCGCTTCCGCCTTGGAGGCGCCGGGTGGCTTTTACAGTTGCACCCCGCAGCCCTCGGACTTTCGATCCTAGCAGCGGGTGGACACGGAACTCGCAGGATTCCACTCAGGCTGGGGACCGAGGACGACTACAGGCCAGGAAATATCTCAACATACAAAAAGAGGATGGGAAAAATGCTAGAAGCAGGTGTTAATTTCTGATAACCCGCAACGTAGAAGCCGGAAGTCCGAACCGGAAGTGGCCCCTGGGGGACTGTTAGGCAGGTTACACCGGAGCGTGGTTTCCCAGGGCTGCGTCCCGCCAGCGAGCAGGAGCTGAAGTCGCCGTCCCCGAGCCATGGCTTTCCCGGCGCCGAAGCCGCGGGCCCCGGAGCTGCCGCGGAAGCGCGTGAAGACGCTGGAGTGCGGGCAGGGGGCGGTGCGGGCCGTCCGATTTAATGGTGAGCCCCTTCGTCTCCGTGCCGGGCCGTCCGGCCGCCCGCCGAGACCGGCCTCCGGGTAACCCCGCGGGTGTTCCCCAGTGGACGGCAATTACTGCCTGACGTGCGGCAGCGACAAGACCCTGAAGCTCTGGAACCCGCTGCGGGGGACGCTGCTGCGGACCTACAGCGGCCATGGCTACGAGGTGCTGGACGCGGCCGGGTGAGCCGGGCAGGGGATACCCCGGCCGGGATGGGGCGACGAGGCCGCGGCCGCAGGTGGACGCTGACCGCCCTGCCTCTGCCCCCATAGCTCCTTTGACAACAGCAGCCTCTGCTCCGGCGGCGGGGACAAAGCTGTGGTGCTGTGGGATGTGGCGTCGGGGCAGGTCGTGCGCAAGTTCCGGGGCCACGCAGGGGTGAGTGGGAACGGGAGCCGAGGCAACGTAGGAGCGTGTTCCGAAGCCCAGCGTTTACCGAGCCCCGCAGCCCCCTGCTGCCCCCCTTGCACTCCCACCCCCCTCCCAAGTCCAGCTCCCCCCGAGCGACTGTTCTGTCCCGCAGAAGGTGAACACGGTGCAGTTTAACGAAGAGGCCACAGTCATTCTGTCCGGTGAGGGCTGGGGCTGGGGCTGGGGCAGGGAAAGGCCGGGCTGCCCCCGCCCGCCACCCTGCCCTCACCTCCGTGGGCTGGCCCACCAGGTTCCATTGATTCCAGCGTCCGCTGCTGGGACTGTCGCACGCGGAAGCCAGAGCCCGTCCAAACCCTGGATGAAGCCAGGGACGGCATCTCCAGCGTGAAAGTGTCCGACCACGAGATCCTGGCGGGGTGAGTGGGGGACCAGAACCTCCCCTCTCTGGGCTCCTCCAGGGGCTTAAAATCTGGCTTGGTTTTTGCCCCACCTTCAGCTGTGCTCAGGGCTGACTCCTGGCTCAGTGTTCAGGGATTACGCCGGGCGGGGCTTGGGGGACCCTATGGGGTGCTGGGGATTGAGCCAGGAGAGCCGTGTGCAAAGCACCTTGACTCCTTTCCTGTTTCCTCATGCCCTTAAATTCCGATCATCCTCTTAAACCTCAGAGCACCCAGCACTAAGCACTGGCTGCTGCTAAGCTGGGGCTTGAATGTGGTGTCAGTCTCCTCCTTGATCAGTGTGCTAAGTGTTTGGCTAGCATAGGCCCCTTCGCTGCCTGCAGGGCCCTTCCGCGTATTTGAGGTTTATTTCAGCACCCGCCTGCACTGATATTCTGGGCACAGGAAACTAAAGCCCTGTAGTGCAGGTGTAACATGTGCAAGGCCCTGTGTTCAAACCCGGCTCTGCATGTCCCTGAACATTACCAGATGTGGCCCTGGTGCTCCCAGTGCTGTTGGGCCCAAGTAGTGGGGCCCCACCAGGCCTGAGCGTTGAGCCATCAGTTCAGGCTGTGCATCTGACCCTCTTCCCACCCATCTCCTCTTGACCTTCATGTGGTGGGCTCCCTCCTGTCCCTCCAGTCCCTAATTGGGGACATCTTCTCCAGGAAGCCTTCTCAGATTACGCTCAGAAGGGGTGTCAGACTGAGCTGCCGGCCTGGTCTGGTCGCTGCTGTGTTTCAGGTGTCTGTGGCCCATTTTCTGTTGTGCTGGAGGGCACCACTGCACACCCCAGTAAACCCAGAACTTCACACAGCCAAGGTTCATTGTGTTGTGTTTTTTTGGGTGCAGTACTGAGTTTCGAACCCTGGGCTTACTCATTCTAGGCCTGCGCTCTGTTGCTAAGCTACATCTCCTTGGACCCACATATCTACCCACCACCCCCTTTTCTTTTTTTTTTTTTTTTTTGCCTTTTGGGTCACACCGGGCGATGCTCAAGGGTTTCTCCTGGCTCATACATTCAGGAATTACTCCTGGCGGTGCTCAAGGGACCATAAGGGATGCTGGGAATAGAACCCGTGTGCAGGGTCAACCGTGTGCAGGGCAAACTTTAAATTTTTTTAATAAAAATGATGCAGTAGACCCCGTTGGCCGTGGATCTGAGTTAGAACCACTGGGGGCTACAGTTTGGCATGTGTCCAGTCTGACCTTTGGGGGTGCATGCTGGGAAGGCACAGCTGGGGTCTGGTCTCCCCACCCGATCCAGCTACTGTCCCGCCCCTCCTGCAGTTCCGTGGACGGCCGAGTGAGACGCTACGACCTGAGGATGGGGCAGCTTTTCTCCGATTACGTGGGCAGTGAGTGGGGCCGAGGCCATGGGCAGGGTGTGGCGACGGTGGGCAGATCGGCAGATCGAGGGACCCTGGCCCCACCTGCCTGTTCTTTCCCTCCCACTGCCCCAGGCCCCATCACCTGCACCTGTTTCAGTCGGGACGGCCAGTGCACCCTGGTGTCCAGCCTGGATTCTACGCTGCGGCTTCTAGATAAAGACACGGGGGAGCTGCTGGGCGAGTGAGTCCCTGGGAGTTGGGGGCCGCCCCTGCCCCTCCTCCCCAAGCCCAGGCTCTGCTGACCCCCCCCCCCCGCCCCCACCCAGGTATACCGGCCACAAGAACCAGGCATACAAGCTGGACTGCTGCCTGAGCGAACGTGACACACACGTGGTCAGCGGCTCAGAGGACGGGAAGGTGTTCTTCTGGGACCTGGTGGAGGTGAGCCCTGCTTTCCCGAGCAGGGGACAGCATGCACGCGGGTTGGGCCGGGCTGGGATGCTAGTGGGGGGAGGGGACACATTCCGTAGGCCCTGTCCTCTTGGCTCCCCACCTCGTCTGGGACACTGCACCAGGACAGACTTCCAGGCTTTTGGAATCAGGGAGGGAGCCCCTGAGAGACTGGAGGAAACAGGAGTCGGGGTTGGAGCTAAGAGACCCCCCCAGGTTCTGCCCTCCTCAGGGTCTGGTAGGCCGGAAGTGAGTGACTGGAGAGGGGACGCCGAGCTGGTGGGGTCAGGTGGGGGGCCCTGGTAACCATCCCCGTGCTCACTCTGCAGGGTTCCCTGGCGCTGGAGCTGCCTGTGGGGGCTGGCGTGGTGCAGTCCCTGGCCTTCCACCCCACAGAGCCCTGCCTGTTGACTGCCACGGGGGGCAGCGTCCACTGCTGGCGGGAAGATGCCTACGAGGCGGAGGGGGGAGCCGGCTGAAGCTGGGGATCCACCAAGGATGGACACACAGACCCCCAGAGAAGGACGGGTGATGCTTTATTCTGGACATGTGGGGGGGTGGGGAGAATAAAGCAGGTGGGGGGCCCGCCCCTCAGTCCTGGTTCTTCTCAGCCCTGAAGGCATCCACCTTCTGTGCGAATGTCTCGGCAACCAGCAGCGGGAACACCAAGGACGCGTCGGCATAGACCTTGGGGGTGGGGGCAGGGAGGTGAGGGTCCAGTCCAGGGTGCCACCCCAGAGACCCTGGGACCCTGCCAGCCCTCCCACCTCACCTTCACAGGCTCAGCGTCCACCCGTATCTTGCCCCATGAGACCGCCTCGTCGGGCCGCGCGCCAGAGTCGGAGCCATCAAATTCCTGGGCCGTGTTGATGTAGACGGCGTAGTCGGCCCCGTTCCGCTACGAGCACGGGGGGGGGGGGGGGCACGGTGGAAGGGGGGCTACGGACAGCCCCGCAGCCGCTTTCTGCACCCCACTCCCCACTCCATGCCGCATTGGCTCGTTCTCTCCAAGACCCTGACAACTACCCCTCCTCTGGCACCCCCAGTTCCTGGCTGCCCAGGGGAGCCCCTCTAGGCCAATGGCCAACTGTGCCCCCCTCGAGGCCCTGCGTGTTCTCCGGAAGGGCATTCCCGGGCCTCCGGCTGCTCACCATGAGGTTGGCATTGGCGATGTGGTGCTTGACCACACCCCCGCCCAGGATGATCATCCCGCTGCGCTTGGCGAAGATGGCCTGCGTGTTGATGAGCCGCAGGTCTGTGGGAGAGGCAGCATCAGCGTGTCTGGGCCCCCCACCCTGTCCCCCGCGGCCCCGCCCCCACTCACCCTCCACAATGTCCAGGACCAGGCCTGGGTTCTTGTAGGAGTGGAAGAAGATCATGTCTCCCAGCGAGCCGTCTGTGAGCGCCGGGCTCAGCACGGGGATGTGGTTCTGGGGACAGAGAGGAGGCAGCGACTGAGGGCGCCCAGGCCTCCCCCGCCTCAGGAACCACACACAGTCGCGCCTGCTGCAGAGAGCTGGTTGTTTCGGGGTCAGGCAAGAGCTTGAGGGGCCGGAACCCAGGGCTCAATCCTTGGCACTGCCAGGGTGCCCACCCCCCCAGGACCAAGAACAATCAATGCAAGAAAACTACCCCCTTCAAAGTTAGTGTTTGGGGGCAGGAGTGATAGTACAGCGGGTCGGGTGTTTGCCTTGCACAAAGCCAATCTGGGTTCGATCCCCAGCATCCAATATGGTCCCTGGAGCACCGCCAGGAGTAATTCTTGAGTGCAGAACCAGGAGTAGCCCCTGAGCATCACTGGGCGTGGCCCCAAAAAAACAAACTTCTTGTTTTAGTGTTTCTTCAGGGCTTGCCCTTGGTGAGGCTTGGGGGGCGGCACATAGGATGCTGGCGATTGACCCCCACCAGTCCTTGCTGCTGGACTCTCCATCCCTGCTCATTTCTCATGGTTCCACTGGTTGAACCTTAATCAGTCTGAGGAACTCCGGGATCCACTGCCAGGCCCCTGGGGACTGCCCAGCCTGGCCCAAGTCCAGGGTGACCTCACATAGCTCTCCTGCACCCACACTCCCGGGTGGGCTGAGAACAGAATTGCCCAGGCTGTGCGTGCCCTCACCTTCTGCGCCCAGTAATACACCGAGTCCGGGTTGTTGATTTCTTTCCCCAACCGGGCGATCATCTTGGAAGGCGTCCACTTCACACCCTGGGAAGGAAGCTGGGCCTCAGGCAGCGGTGCCCCCATCCTCATCCCCGCCCCGAAGGGCATGCCCCACCTGGGCCTACCCCTCTCGGGCCCACCCCTGCCGCTGCCCCAGGCCCACCTCCGTGTTCTGCTCCAGCACCATTTGGTCCAGGATGGGCATCAGCCAGTCCTCAAATTTGCAGTAATTGTCATTGGGCACCAGCAGGTTCCCGATCCTGTGGACAGGAGGCACATGGGCTGCCCACTCTGCAGCCCAGCTCCCACCCAGCCCCCACCGGGGGGAGGGGGGCCCACCTGTTGATTCCATTCTCACGCAGTTCCTTCCCGGGGAGGCTGAACTCGCCCAGGTAAGTGGGTGCCAGGCACTTGATCAAGTCCTCCTCCACACCCCCTGCCGTGGTCACTAAGACGTCCACCTGCAGTCACACGGGAGTGACGGTGACTCAGAATGCACCCCCAGCAATCCTCTTGGGCAGGACCCAATACTCAACCCTCATTCCCCCAGCCCTTCCCCTGTCCAGGGAATTCTGCCAAACAAAACTCCATGCAGGGGCTGAAGCAATAGCACAGCGAGCAGGGCGTTTGCCTTGCATGCAACCGACCCGGGTTCGATTCCCAGCTTCCCATATGGTCCCCCAAGCACTGCCAGGAGTGAGTTCTGAGTGCAGAGCCAGGGGTAACCCCTGAGCATTGGCTGGGTGTGACCCAAAAAAAAAAAAAAAACAACTCCATGCAGTGTCTCTCCTTTGAAGGTTCTGCTTCCCACTGAAACAGCCCAGTCCTGGGCTCTGGAGACTTCAACAGGCTGGGCACAGGCTTTGCAAGCAGGATTTCCAACTGAGTCCCAGGCACCATAAGTTCCCTAAGTGGACCCCAGCACTAAGCCAGGAGTAGCTCCACAGCACTGCTGGGGTGTGGCTCAGAAGCAAGTTTTTGTTTTTTGGCTTTTGGACCACATCTGGTGATGCTCAGGGGTTACTCTTGCCTCCTGCCTCTTCACTCCAGAATTATTCCTGGCAATACTTGAGGGATGCTGGGATTGAACTCAGGTCAGCTGCATGCAAAGCAAACACCCTCCTCTCTCTTGACTATTGCTGTTCATTTTTTTTTTTTTTGCTTTTTGGGTCACACCCAACGATGCACGGGTTACTCCTGGCTCTGCACTCAGGAGTTACTCCTGGCGGTGCTCAGGGGACCATATGGGATGCTGGGAATCGAACCTGGGTTGGCTGTGTGCAAGGCAAACGCCCTACCCGCTGTGCTATCTCTCCAGGCCCTCAATTTTTAATTAAAATTCATGGGGGCCGGGTGGTGGTTGCAACGATGCTTAGTGTCAGTTCTGTGCTGAGGGACCCCCTAAATAACCAAGACCTGGGGCCAGAGAGATTAGTACAGGTGGTAAGGCACAGAGTCCTGAGCACTGTTAGGTGTGTCAAAAACAAAAACAAGATCTTATTGCGACCATGTTGTGCTGCACGAGGTAGCGGATGGTCTCCCGGATGCCTGAACTGATGAGGTTGGACGTGTAGCCTAGGAAAATGGTGCAACCGGTGAGCGGCCGGCGGCTCTGGGTCAGGTCCGCATGGTGGTCTTCGTCCTCGGACAGCGGCTCCAGTTTCTTCTCGATCTAAGCATACGGGCGGGGTCCGGTTAGCCTCTATCCTCTGCTTAAGGATGCCGGCCGCGTTTCTGAGTTCGGTCCTGCCCACTCGGATAGGATGTGGGACTTAAACGTGGAACCCCTGCCCCATAGCTCCTCCCAGTGCAGGCACACACACTCCGTCACACACCTTGAATCGTGCAGGCTTTGCCCCCTTCAGGTATCTCCACAAGCCCCTTCCCTGCCGGGATTACTATCAACGCCAAGAACCCGCCCAGAACCAAAGGTCCGTCCAGAACGCTTTCGCACTTATGGCCCCAAACCCGCCCCCAGCCATAATAGGTCCCCTGCCGGCGGGTGGCTGGTACTAGGCTAGCGGGGATTCCGGAGTCACCTTTCTTTTCCCAGGAAAGAACAACACGCCCAGTGTGGCCCCGCCCGCTACCAGCGATTGGACAGTCACGGAGGAGGCCCCGCCCCCACAGTGCGGCACTGGCGCGCCCCAGGCCAGGAAGTCCCGCCCACGGCCTCACCATGGCGTTGACTTGCTGCACCGCGCGCCCGAAGTTGGTGGCCTGGAAACCCGTGGTGCCGTACGTCTTCAGCAGCGCGTGGTAGTCCACGCCGCGGTTAAAGTCGTAGCCCCGCACCTGGGCGCTCTCGGCCGGCAGAGCCGAGCTGTGTTTCAGCACGGCGGCCAGCGCCGCTGCGGGCGCCTTCTCCTCCGGGGCACCCTCCATGCCCCTGCGACCGCCGTCTCAGCGCGGAGCCGCCCGCGCCGGGCCGAGACGCATGAAGGTCCCGGCACACGCTTCTCGTGAGGGCGCAGGAAGCGGGACTCCGGAATCGGCGGAGGATGCCGGAAGCTGCAATGGTCACGTGGCAGGTTTTGCATGAGCGCCGCCATTGGGTTTATTTCTTCCGTACTACGGAAGCCGTGAATCCCCTTCACGTGCTCCCAATGATTGCCCTCGATGGACTACCCCTATAGTTTTGAGGGGGGGCGGACCATGGGGTGCATAGGGGGTACACGCCTCTTCTGTATGAAGTCCCCAAAGTTATCCAAACTGCAAAAATAAAGATTATATACAGGCTTCAGAAATGTTAACTCATCACAGGCGCTCTCTGTGGCAGCAACCACACCCCAACTCCTTTTGCCCCTGAGCCTCAGGCCAGACTTAAGAGTGAGCCCTGAGCCCCTTCCCCAGAGGAAGATTCCTGGGGGTGGGGTGTAGCTTTAGAACTCCCCTTTGAGCTGGAGGGAAGGATGATGGTGTATTGGGGGGCACGAGTTAGGGGGTCGCCCTGAGTCTGACTCTAGTTGAATGGGTCATCTGGGTAGGGCTTTTTGGGGTGTGAGGTCTGGGGACGGGCGCCGGAGGCCACGAACCAGAGGGGTTGGGGGGCTGAGTCCCAGTGGATGCTCCCAGGTGCTGGGCAGGACAGAGATGGGCAGGCTGGCGTTGGAAGTCCATGGGCAGCAGTCAGGCCCCGCCCGCACGGAGAGCTTGCCGCCAGCAGGGCCCCCGGGGCGGGGACCCCCTCTGCTGCTGCAGCTGCAGCTGGTGACATTTTCCTGGGCCAGTCCGGACTTCAAAGCCCCCGCGGGGGTTGGGGAGAAGGAGGGGGCATGGGGGAGCGGCGGGCTGCAGACAGAGACAGAAGAGCCAGCAGGGCTGAAGGAGCTGAAGGAGCCGCAGCCACCGCATCCGCCGCTGAGGTAGGTAGTCCTGGATAGGGCTGGGGGCACCTGGAGAATGGGGCTCGGGGGTCCTGCCGCCCCTGACCCGACTTGCCCTGTGCCAGATGTCGGGTAAAGTAGCCCTGGGCAGCGACATTGGGCAGGCCCGGCGCGCTGTGGAGCAGTTGCGGATGGAGGCGGGAATCGACCGCGTGAAGGTGAGCATGGCGCACACGCGGGGTGTTGCGGGGACTCCTGGCCTCGGAGCTGACTGGCCGCCCCGCAGGTGTCCAAGGCAGCCGCCGAGCTGCTGCAGTTCTGCACAGAGCAAGCCAAGAGCGACCCCTTCCTCGTGGGCATCCCAGCGGCCACCAACCCCTTTAAGGAGAAGAAGCCGTGTGCTATCCTGTGACCACATGCCAGCGGCACCCGGATGAACGGCACTGAGGGCTGAGACAGGGCAGTGTGTGTGTGGGGAAGGGGGGTTCCCCAGAGCTGCGCACAGCAAGAAGTAGCCCACAGCATCACTGTGTGATTCCCCAAACCAAAAATAAACATGCAGTGAATGTCCCTGGGTGTTGCTGCAGCAGGCTGTGGGGTACACACAGCAGGGAACCCCCACAGGAGGGCACACCTGCCCCGGCTTGGCATACTGAGCCCCCCAAGCCAGCAAGCACTCCAAGTACAGGTGCCTTCTCTTAATCCCCAATGGGGAATAGGGGTGGCCCCCATCCTGGTTCCACGGGGTGACCACACACCACAGAGGTTCGGGCAACAACACAACCGTTTATTTCTCCTTCCTGTTCAAGAGAGCCTGGGGAATCCATAACCAAAGTAGGGTGTGTGGGGCAGAGGGGTGCAGCCCCCTGGGAGGGCTGGCCGTTCTCTGCCCTCCTGTGGCACAGGGACCAGCCCAAGGGCCCTCCCAGGCATGTGGCCTGGAGTCCTTTTGCCCTAGGCCTGTGGGGCGGGCCAAGGGAGGGAGCACCAGTGTGGGGGAAGGTCCCCCGAGAAAAGAAGCAGGTGGCATCCGCTGTCCTTTCTCAGTCCTGCAGACGCCACACCTCCAGCGACAGGCCCCCGGAGGCGGCCACCACCAGGTTGCCGTCAGCACAGATCTGGGAGGACAGGGCGAGCTGGAGTCAGGGGTGCTAGGGCAGGTGGGTGGGGTGCGGGGGCGCGGCCTTACCCCATTCAGCGCGTTGTCGTGGCTGCGGGTGCAGATGGTCCTGGGGGGGTCGGTGGGCAAGTGGACCTGGGGGGAAGGGGCAGGTCAACCCCAGGCCCCAGGTGGTTGGGTTGGGCGTGGGCAGCTGGGGGGGGGCCCTTACCCGGAAGGTCTTATCGGTGGATGTGGTGTACAGGGTGCCCAGAGAGTGTCTGATCCCTGTGATCTGAGAGCGATGGCCCACGTCAAAGGACTGTGGAGGGTAAGGGAGGGACTGTTAGGGGCGAGGGAGGAACACAGATGACCCCGCCCTGGCCCCGCCCCCTTCTCGGGGCCACGCCCACCCGGAAGTGCTGGAAGCAGCCGTGATGGTTGGCGAAGACGTGAAGGGCGCCCTGGTTGTCGCCCGCCCAGAGCTGGGGCTCCAGGTAGGACAGGCACAGCAGGTACGAGTCGAGCTACGGGAGGGAGGGGGCGCGCACATGAGGGAGGCCGGCCGGCCGGGCGGAGCGGCCCCCATCACAGCGGTGCAGGGCGCCCACCTGCAGCCGCTGCAGGACGCCGTGCTTGCGGCGGTCGAACACCACCAGTGTGTGGTCCTCGCTGGTCGACACGATGCGCCGCTCGTCAGCCAGCAGGGCCAGCACCGGGCTGGAGTGCAGCCGCTGGCTGTGCAGCAGCGCCGGGCTCGCTTCGGGGAAGGTGGCGTCAGGCCCCTGCGAGACCCCCGGACTGCCGCTCTGACCGCCCCCCTCCCGCGAGGGTCCGGCTCTCCTTGCGGAGAGACCCGGCCCACCCCACATCCCTTGCACCCAAGTTCTCAGCACCACCTCCTCCCATCAGCCCCCGGGGGCTGGATGATTGCCGGGAAGAACATAGGGAAACTGAGACTCACGCGGGCCTGGATGCCTATGACTCAGAAGGGGGGCTGGGGTCAGAATTGCTTTGTTTGGGGGCACACCACCTGTGCTCGGGGCTCACCGCTGGCCCTATGCATGGTGGGAATCACTCCTACGTGCTCAGGTTACCTTTTGGGGTTCCACCGGGGCTGGCCGGTGCAAAGGTGGTGCTTGACCAGGTGCTTGCTCTCAGGGCCCAGGGAATAAGAGTTCTAAGCCCAGCAGAGGCATTTGCCTTGCCCACAGCAGACCCCTGTTCATTCCCCAGCTCTACACAGGGGTGTCCATTGCCTGTCCGGAGTGAGCCCCACAAAGAGCAAGGGGTTGAATGTGGCCACAAAATTAAAATATATATGGGTAATATACATATACATATATTTGCTCGAGCGGGCCCAGTAACGTCTCCATTGGAGACTTTGTTGTTACTGTGTCTGGCATATCGAATACTCTCGGTAGCTTGCCGGGCTCTCCGAGAGGGGCAGCGGGCTGGAGCGATAGCACAGCGGGTAGGGCGTTCGCCTTACAAGCGGCCAACATGGCCGACCCAAGTTCGATACATATATTTAATTATTATTAATTTGGATTTGGAGCCACACCCTGCCTTTCTCAGGGCTTACTCCTGGCTCTACGCTCAGGAGTCACCCCTGGAAGTGTCCCGGGACCACATGGGATGTCAGGGATTTGAATGGGCATCTATCATGTACAAGGCAAATGCATGCACTATCTGTACATGCACACACTGTACTATCTCTCCCACCCCGTCAAAAAGTCTTTCTTAAAGAATTCCAAGCCTGCTGCCAGGCCCCCTGATGTAGCCCCCTCTGCCCCACCCCCAGTGGGAATGGGAAGCAATCTCGGTGCTTTTTCACCCACCCTTGCCTCACCCAGGCCTGCAGGCCACCCGCCCCAGGCCCCCGGCCCACCTCTGGGGTCATAGATGGACACTTTCTTGTCGTAGCTGCCGGCCACCAGGATGTCAGGTAAGTAGGACAGGCACAGCACAGCAGCCTTGCCCCTGGGGACACACACACCGCCGGGCTGGGGCCTGGGCCAGGCTGGGGTCTACCCCCCAGCACCGCCCGGCCCAGGACCCGTCGAACTTGATCTCGCCGAACTGCTGCCCGCCGGCGTCCATGTCCCAGAGCTTCATGGTGCTGTCCCAGGAGCCCGAGCACACGCGGTGGTCCAAGGATGTCAGCGACCAGACCCAGCCCTGCAGGGACAGCCGGGAGCCCCATGACCCAAGAGACCTGCAGGAAGGCCTCCCACAGCTCACCCCCAGGCTCTGCAGAATGTTCGAATTGAACTGCCAGTGCGAAGTATGGGGTGAAGAGGGCATCTGGGGGGTGGGGGGGTGCCTCTCAGGCTGGAGCACAGCCGGCCCCCTAATCCCCAGTGGGAGCACCCTCCCCAAAGCACAACAACAAAAGCTAAAAGCCAGGGTGGGGATCCTTCCCCACCAGCGGCCGCCCTTCCCCTTAAGCCCTTGAGAGAGGGACACTGGGGTCGCAGCCAGACAGTAGACAGGAACCCAGGCGGAAAGTGGCCCTGTGACCCGCAGCCTGAAGCCGACACCGCGGATGTTCTTGACCTGCTACTCCCTAGACAGACAGACTGAGGCACAGAGAATCACGTCCCTGAGTTCCAGCAGCAGGCCCTTGCCAGCCACTCACCTTGTGGGTGCTGTGGGGCTGGGAGCCCAGGGCCTTGACCAGCGCCTGGCCTGGCTCCTCCCCGAGCTGGCGAAGATCCCACAGGTTCACGTTGCGATCTCGGGAGCCCGACAGGCAGAACGACCCACCCTGGGGGGGCGGGGGAGAGAGGCGAGCTGGGGGCAGGGTTCCCTGGGGCTCCCTTCGCGTGGACACCCCCTCCTGCCCCCACCGCACCTCAAGGAGCAGCACTGAGTCCACGGAGGCGATGTGGCCATTGGCCAGGCAGAAGTACTCAGCCCAGCGCCCGTCCTCGGCCCAGCGCGCCAAATGCTGCTCCAGCTCAATGCAGGCGGCCGGCCAGTCAAAATCTTCCTCTGGGGGCACAGAGCAGTGTCCCCGGGGGGCAGTGAGGGGACACTCATGTCCCGGCCCACCGGGGCTTCCATGGAGGCCCCTCCTGTGCTGCTCAGAGAAGAGAACTTGCCTGCACCCCTCTGGAGGAGATCCGCATTCCCACACTGGGCCCACTCATCCATCTGCCCCCTCCCCACCTCGTGCACAGGTACTCACCCCAGGCCAGCTCAGAAATGGGGAGCTAGGATTTTAGGACATTGAGCCCCCCACCAGCCAATAGGAGTATCCCCAGAACCCGCAGGCTAGGCACCAGCTAGGACTTCCTGCACAGCTTCCTGCCAATGCTGTGCAGGAAGTCATTGCTGGGCACTGGAAGAGGCTGTGCGGCTCAGGCCAATCTCTGGCCACCAGAGGGACCAGCAGCGAGACACAGATTCAGGGTTCGAGAGAGGCCTGGAATAGCATCATTCAAGAGCAATGAATCAGTTCCAGAGGGCCAGAGAACTGGGGGGGAAGGGGGCGGTGTGACCTCGTCTGCGTGGTTCAGAGGTCGCATCCCACCCCCCATCCAAACCTAGGCTCAGGGCTGAAGGGTCTGTGCAGCAGGGTTCAAATTCCAGGATGCATGCCAGGGCCCCAGGTTCCATTCCTAGCACCACGGAGGTAGCCCTGACGCACATCCCCACCACAAAAAAAAAAAAAAAGATTCTAGGGTTTGAGAGGGCATCAAGATGGGCTTTTAGGCACTTGCCATGCATGATCCTGGTTCCACCTCCAGCATTGCAGAGTCCTGCGACCACCACCAGGAGCGAGCACCCCAGGTGTATCCCCAAATTTCTTATACTCCCGACCCCAGAAAAGAAAAATTCCACCACTGAAGGGGTCCAAACAGTGCCTGAGGACCCTTAGGCTTTCCGTGAGCCCCAAAGACAGATTTCCAAAGCTGAGACTTAAAGCTCTCCCATTCAGTTCCCAGCCTGGTGACAGGGTGTTGGGTCCCACTAGCTCCCCCGAATCTGAGCATCTCCAGATTCCCCACTCCATCCCCCTCGACGTGGGGGAGCTATGGCGACTCCTCTAACCGCCTCCACACCTCCCGTCCCCAGTCGGAGCGGGCAGGCCCTCCATCTCCCGGCGCCCGGCTTCCGGCCCGACCCCGACCCCGCGGCGGGCGCACCTTCCACCACCGGGTAGCGCGCGCGGACCCGGCGCTGGGCGCGGAGCCTCCAGGTGACCTGGTCGCGCACGAGGTCGCGGAGCGTGTTACACACGCGCGGCAGGACGTGGAGCACGAGGCGCGCGTCCAGGTAGGCGCAGATCTGGAGCAGCAGTTCGGGGGGCAGGCTCAGCAGGCCCGGGACCCCCGTGTCCGGCCCTTTGCGCGCGGCCAGGGAGCCGGCGAACGCGGCCGGCGCGGGCCGCGGAGGGACGCGCGGAGGCTCCGGCTCGAGTCTCGGCGGACCCAGCACGCGGGCGACGTAAGCCTCGGCCTGCGCATCGGGGTCGGACTCCGGCTCCGCTTCCGAGTCATCGTCCCAGGCGTTGGGGACCTCGCGCGGCCCAGGAGGCAGCTCCATGGCGACCGGGTGGGCGCGGCCAGCCCGACTCTTGTCAGCTGGAGCGCCCCGCGTCCCGTTTCCTAGGCAGCGCTAGGGTACTTCCGGCGCCTTCTGATGACGGAGGCGCGGACCCCGGAAGCGGAGCGCCCACGTGAGACTAGGTTTGACAGGGTATCGGCCGGCGTGGTTGCTTCCGGAAGGGCATAAGATCTGCAATTGGTACCAGTTCCGGCGTTTCTTCTTTTTGTTTGGCTTTTGGGACCACACCCAGGGGTGTGTAAAGGGTCGTGCAGTGTTGGGGATCGACCCTGGGCGTCCAGCATGAGCTGTATCTCTCTGGCCGGGTTCCTGCATCTTCCAAACGCGTCTGGCCAGTTTGAAAAAGGGAGTTCCGGAGGCAGCTTACAAATACAAGGAGATTGCTCAAAAGGACTGGCACCCGCCTCCCGTGCCTGCTCGACCACTTCCAGTAAAAATAACACTTAGACCCTTTTGTACAGTTGCGATTCCAAAACCGGTTTCCTTTTCTGGAACCAGAAACTTAATCAGTAGTTAATGTTTCTTGGAATTACCTACGTGTTGGGGGAGGCCCACACCCACCGTGCTTAGGGACCAAACTGGTGTTGGCCATCTGCAAGACAAATGTCTTTTAACGGTCAATAAAAGCTTCTTTTGAGCTAGGAAGCTAGCGAATTGAGAACTGTTCTTCTGCCCAACAGCTGACACCCATTCACAGGACTTTTGCTCACTTGCAGTGTTGACTCCTTCCCTGAGAAGCTATTTCCCCTCTTTGATAACACTGTCCTCCCGTGCTCCTTGGGGTCACATCCGGGCCTCCAGAGGGCTGGTCATGTCGGTGCATGTGGCTCCTGGGACCAGGCATGTCCCTAATCCTCTTCCTCTGACCATCTCTCCAGCTCCCAGCTGTATTTCTTTGTGGGGGATGGGGGGTGGGGCTGGGGGCAGCAACCATATGTTGGTGTTGGTATGGACCAGGGTCTACTACTTCATGGGGTTGAGCCTTAACTCCTGAATTATCTCTCCAGCTCCCAGCTGTATTTCTATGGATACAAGCACTGTTTTCTTCTGGTTTTTGGTTCCCTGAACCCAGCAGGAGTAATCCTTGCAAACCCACCAGTGCTTAGAGCCAGTAGTATGAACACCCACTGACCCCCACCCAAAGAAAGTGGTGCTCCTTAATGCTGCTCCCACAGCCCTTCCCTGACCCATGACTTCCGAACCAACTCCAAATCCCAGCTCCTCCACCCCCTGCCTCTATTCCCCAAGCCAATGCCACAGGAAGCCAGACGGAGACATGTTTCACAAGAAACTGATCTTTACTCAACAAAGTTCTACACAAGTGGACCCGCACGCCACATGGGCGCCAATCCCCAGCACAGCACGGTCACATGTGGACAGAGCCTGGAGCCCGCGGGAAAGGGGGAGGGGAGAGCTGCCCATGTCAGGGTCGGCAGCCCTGAGCAGGGGAGAAAGTGGAGAAGCTGAAACTTCGTTGTGCAAAAATCAACCAAAAAATAAATTAAAAAATTAAATAGTTTCCTAAAAAAAAAAAAAAAGAAACAAAAGGAAGAAAGAAGGAAAAATAGATAGCCAAACTCCAACCAGGCTCTCCTCCCCTTCCCTGATGACAGCTGGGGGATCCCACCCCAAATCCTGGGTGGGGGTGTTCCCAATTTAACCCAGCCACATGCCCAGGCCAGGCCCCAGCAGTGGGTGCTCCAGGGAACTGGAATTACCAGCAAATTAAACGGTCTTTAAAAGAAAAAAAGAAAAACTTTTTTTCTTCGTTATTTTTTTCCCCTATTTTTTTCTTTTTTTTTTTCTTTTTCTTTTTTTTTTTTTTTAAACAAATGGCTTCCAGAGACCTGCTGGAGTTCCACTGGGGGAGGGGCCCTGCTGGGTGAATGGAATGTGCAGCGAGTACCCTGGGCTTTGAGGCAGGCCTCATCCTGGCTGCGAGAAGAACTGGGGCCCGTGGGCACAAGGCCCGGTGCCCCAGGATACCAGGATCCAGCAAAACCTCTCCAATCCCCCAAAGCCCTCCCCCCCGCAAATTAAGAAAGCAGAAGAGGGGCAGGAAATCAAAATTAAAAAAGAAAGAAAAAGAACAATAAAGGCATCGCAGGGCCCATTTTCAGGTTCCAGGCCAATTGAGAAGCCCTGTCCCTAAGCGGGCCCCCACCAATCTAGAAAGTTCCCTGGTGTCACTGGCCCATGGCGGGGTGTCTGGGCCCAGCCAGGAGCCCCTCCTCTCCCCCCGGCCATCATGGCCGGCCCTCAGCCCTCGTGTTCTGGAAGCGCATAGAAAGCGTCTGCTCATGCGCCTGCACGGACAGAGAGCCACAGCTCTCGGGGACCAAAGTCTCCGCAGTCCTGGCCGCTGGAGCGCAGCGGGGAAGAAGGGGCGCTCTTTGCCCCCCCAGCAGCTGATGGTCCCCACGCTTCCAGCCGGGGCAGAGGGGAGCACACGGGCAGCAGGCTGCCCAGCTGGCAGGGAGTGTGCGGAGCAGGCCCGATGCGTGTGTGTGCTGGCTGGAGGCCCGAGACGGCCAGCCGCTTCCTCCCGACCCCCAACCCACCCAGCCCTCCCCACTCACCGCCCATTCCGGCGAAACAGCAGAAGCTTCTTAAACTCTAGGTTGCAGATTACAAAGGCCTTACGGGCTAACTCAGGGGGTTCACTAATTCTACTGTCTCCATGCAGTCGGGAAAATAGGGGGGCAGCTAGCCCAGCCTGGCTGATGGCTGCGCCCACACATGCGTGTGGCCACGTGTGTACATGTGAGTGTACGTGTCTACAAGGACCCCCCCTCCCCGCCTGCTGGCCCCGCGCCTCACCCTCAGCCGGTTCCCCTCGGCCTGTCAATGCGTCCCTCCCACTTAGCTGGGCCCACCCTCCCGATGGGGTGCCCGAGGTGACCCCGATGACAGCCCGGGGCCCTGGCCAGGAAGTCCCACCCCCCTCCCTTTTGTCGGATGAGCGTGGAGGCCCCTCCACCTACCCGCCAGCACCGGCCAGGCGAGGCAGGGAGACGGCTGGGGAGCGCATCTGGATGTGGGGCCCTCTCCTCCCTAACCCCCCTTGACCAGGGCACGGCGACTTCTGAACGCAGCGTGCTCCCTAGAGACCCCTCCGACGACGACGCAGACAGAAACCTGTGGGGAGGGTGTGGAGGAAGGTCAGGGCCCTGGCGGCGCCCCCTGGCCCCCCGCGGCCGCCCCACTGGGCCCCCCTTACCTGGTAGTCCCCCCGCTAGCCTGTCTAGACCCCATAGAACGCGGCCAGTCTCTCCTTGAGCAGCGGTGGGAACTGCTCTGAGAACTGCTGCCAATTCTCCTCCCCGACCTGGTCTTTGAAGCCATGGAGAATCTGGGGGTGGGGAATGGACGGAGCTCTGAGCATGAGGTGCCCCCCAACCCCCCGCAGGCCCCGCCCCCAGGAGGGCCAGGGACACCTCACCTTATAAAACATGTCCCGAAGATCATCCTTCGGGCTCACCCAGGAGGCGACCGCGTCACAGAAGAAAATAAAATCCTGCGGGGCCGAGGAGGGGTGAGGGGCCACCCTGGGCCCGGCGCCTGCCACCACCCCCGCCCCCAGCTGCACACCCCTCACCTGCACGACGCCCCCCGGGTTGACGCCGATCATCATGCAGATGCCCCGGAAGGCCGAGTCCTTCTCCTCGTTGTCCCGGATGTTCCTGAGCGAGGTGCACCTGCAGGGAGGGACGGGACCTCAGCCTGCAGGGTTCCAGGCGTCCCCGCCCACCGCACCACTGCAGCCCAGACAGGCGACAGGCACGTACCAGGGTCGGATGAACTGCTGCAGCATCGGGGCCACCTCCTGGGGGCACACGTAGCCCAGGCGGCCGATGGTGATGGCTGGAATGGCAGAGGAACTCGTCAGGCGACCTGAAAGCCCGAGCGGCCCCGGGACGGTACGTGGCGGGGCCTCTGCTCGAGGCACCAGCCCCGCCCCGGAAGCCCAGGGGAAGCGCTCCTGCAGGCCACCTGGGCCCGGGCTGGGGTCTGGGCACCTCGGTCATCCCTGTGTCTGTCCAGGCCAGCAGCTCCCCCCGGATCCCCTGCGATAGGTTACCTGGCCCCCTCACCTGTGTTTTCAAGAAGCGTCTTGGGTGTGTTGGGTCGGTTTATGATTTCCACCAGGTTGTTGAGGACCATCTGCACGTACGGCTGCATCTCTGCCCCTGGGGGACCGGCCAGTCAGAGCCACACCTGACAGATGGACACCCTCCACAAACCTGATGCTTCCCTGGAATCCTGGTGCGGCTCTGAGTGGGATCTCAGCCTCGGCCCCAGCCTGGGATCATCCCAGTGGCTGATTAAGGGAATGGCCCAATCTGAACAGGCCGCTCAGCGCACCTCTCTGGAGGAGCCAATCACAGCTGTTCTCCCACTGCACCTCTCTGGAGGAGCCAATCACAGCTGTTCTTCTCTCACTATACCTCTCTGGAGGAGCCAGTCACAGCTGTTCTCCCAGCCTGTGGGTGCTGCGGGCAGGGCACTCACCCATCTGCATGCAAATCTCTCCAATGGCCCAGGTGGCGTTGTTGCACACAGAGATGAATTCAGGGTTCAGGTTGGTGCCCAGGATGGGCATAAATTCAGCTGCGCGGGAGAGAAGGGTGCTGAGCAATGGGGCCCGCCAGGGCCCACTCCTTGGCAGGTGCCGGGAGGCCCCCTCAGACAGTACGAATACAACCGGGTGCGGTCACGGGAGTCCCTGGTCATGGGCTCATCACCGGGGGCCAGGACTGGGATCCCGGGAAGGTGGGGCGCCGTACCGATGCAGGGCTTCACATGGATGAAGCAAGCTTTGGTGAGGTCTCCCAGGAGCGCGAAGGAACTCTGCCGGACCTCAGGCATGGAGTCCTGGGGGTCAGAGGAGCGTTGGGGTAGCAGGCACCTCCCCCAAAACCAGAACTTAGGGTGGGGCAAGAGGGAAGCGCGCGAGGTTCCCTTGTTCAGGCACTGCCACGGAGCACGGGGATGGTACAAAGGGATGGGATGGCGTCAGGGAACAGTGCGTGGGCAGTGACGTTCAAGCCTGGCACCGCCACCCCAAAGGCCTCCTGGCCCTGTGCTCAGGGATCACTCCTGGAGGTGCCTGAGAGACTGTATGAGGGGCTGGGGACCACACTGGGGTCAGCCGCGTTCAAGGCAAGCGCCCTCCCTGCTGTATATCACTCCGCCCCTACTGCAACCCATTCTGACAGTCCAGGGGGCAGAAGAGAAGGCGCAGGCTGGGGTGGCAGCCTTGAGATTCCATGGGGGTTACGGGGCGGGAAGTCGCCTCACCCACCTGCATGCACTGGAACAACAGCGTCATGATGTTGCTGCGGGCCACCAGCTGCTCCACATGGCCACCCAGGCCCTCGGCCAGGCCGCTAAGCAGGTCCAGCGCCACGATCATGAAATCCTTATCGGGGGCTTCATACTGCTCCGGGTGCTGGGTGTACATCTGGCCACAAAGGGGTGGGTGAGGGGGACCCAGCAGAGCCGGGGCACAAGGGAGGGTCAGGAAAGGGTGGGTGGAACCTGACGAGAGGCATCAGGCCAGCAGGTAGAGGGCAGGGCCTGGCACGAGGGCTAGGTCCAAGCTCTAGGGGCTCACCATGGCTTGGGCCAGCGTCTTTTGCACCAGGGTGACGCAGCGCTGGTAGACAGGCTCGCAGTAGGGCAGGAAGCCGCTCTGCAGGGCGGTGGCCACGGAGGACAAGCACTGTGACAGCAGGACAGAAACTGTGAGCTGTGCGCCAGGGTGGGGGGCTCAGGCCCCGGGAGCAGGCCTGGGCACCCCATACCTCCAGCAGAGGGAAGAGATCCTTGTCCTCATCCTTGAGCTCGTTCCACTTCTGGATCAGCGGCGGCATCAGCTTCTGGATGTATTCCTGCAGGGGGACAGGATGTTGGGGTCCCTGCTGTCCTGAGCCGGTCCCTTCGGGGCTCCTCTCAAAGGCTCCAGGAGGTGGGGGGTGGCCTGTGAGGCCCCGCATTCCACTCTCTGGGCATGCCCAAGGAACCCCTGGCCTCAAAGGAATGAGCACCGACCCAGCCCCAGCTCTCACTGGCTGGTTGAGGTGGTGGCCCACGGAGTCAGCCAGGGTGCCGATGGCGTCGTAGAGGATGAGCAGGTTCTTGTGCTGGTACTTGCCGAAGGCGAAGACCAGGGTGTCCAGGATGTAGCTGAGGTAGGGCACCAGCTCCGTGCATGCTTCCTCCTCCAGGGTGGCAAAAGCACTGCAGGGCAAGGTGGTGCTCAGCGGACTGCCTTCTGGCAGGGGCAGGCGAGGCAGGGCTGAGCGGACGCCCTCAGATCAGCCAGTACGAATACGAGAGGAATCAGCGCGAGGTCAGCCTCACACAGTGTCATCACTTCAGGAGGGTCAGGGATGGGGGGAGCCGGGGGGGTGCGGACAGGGCTGGGGTGCGGTCACCTGCAGGCTGCCTCCTGTACCCTCTTATTGCCGTCCAGGATGCGCTTGAGCAACTCGGTCATGAGGGGCTTGAGGTGCATGTCGGGGGGCTGGCTGACCACCCAGTGGGCGTAGCGGCTCAGCGTCCAGCAGGCAATGGAGCGGACCAGGGCCTTCTTGTCGGACAGGCACTGGATGAGGTGTGGGATCAGCTCGGGCAGGTAGGGGACCATGCCCTGCATGCAGCCTGTAGGGACAGAGTGGGGAGGACACACAGCCTGAGCCCGGCAGCTAGGGAAACTGAGGTCCAGGGACTGTGGGGACTAACAGGGCTGTGATGGAGGCCGGTTATGTTTCTGGCTCCACGGGCACTCACCCTCCGCAATAGCGCCCAGCACCAGGATGCCCGACTCCTTGACCACCCACTCGGGGTGGAAGAGCAGGCCCTTGAGCAGCGGAAGCAGGTGAGGCAGCAGCTCCTCCCGGAAGACGTTGGCCAGGACATCCAGGGCAGCCGCTGAGCACTTCCCTGGGGAGGAGGAGGAGGAGGGTAGGCTCAGAGGGGTGCCACTGCCCCATCCCCGCCACTCCCCGCCCCCCCCCGCCCTGGGCCAGGCCACACACTCAGGTTCCAGTCGGACAAAGCGTCATCATCATCGTCATCGTCCGCGTCCTCGGAGCCATCAGGGCGTTCAGCCTCGTGGGGCAGCGTGACCGTGCGGGATTTGTGGAAACGCGGTTTTATGTCTTGCTCACTGTCGGGGACCGCCTCGTCCTCCTCCACGTCGCCCTGGGAGGCCAGGCCCACCGTAAGCACCACCCGAACACACGTACCCATCCCCCACATGCCCGGGCCCAGCCCCTGCCCACCTTCAGCAGGATGATGTCGATCTCCGAGTACTTCATGCCATTCACCAGGATGGGGATCAGCCTGGGGGCCGAGAGGCAGAGGCATGAGCAGAGGAACAGAGGGTCGGGACGGAGCCTGGACAGAGCCTGGGTAAACCTGGCCTGTCTGGGGGATGGGGTGGGGGTGTGGAGGTGCTATTCTGTTCAACTATATGATGTGGCGGAAAAAGAAAATAAAGACCCAAGAAGCACCAAATACCAACCTCCTGGGCTAGAAAGAGGCTTAAAGGACCAGAGTTGGAGACTAGAGCGATAGCATAGTGGGTAGGGTATTTGCTTTGTACGCAGCCGACCCAGGTTCAATTCCCAGCATCCCATATGGTCCCCCAAGCACCGCCAGGAGAAATTCCTGAGTGCATGAGCCAGGAGTAACCCCTATGCATTGCCGGGTGTGACCCAAAAAGCAAACAAAGGAAAAAAAGAGGGGGGGGCAGACCTTACACTCCCCATTCAGTAAACTGGGGTTCCAACCCTAGGCACCGTATAATCCCCAAAGCCCCAAGATAGGATTGAGTCGCCCCTGGGCATCACCAGCAGTGCCCCAATAATGGAAGACAGTGAACAACAACACTCTTCCGAGAACAAAGCTGACACAGAAGGCAGTCTGAGACCCCCCAGACCCCTTTCACATCCTCAGGGCACCGAGATCCAGCCGTATCTGGAGCTGTCATTAACATTTCCCTATTTCCCCCTCCAACTTCCGGGTTTGGGACATAGTTTGGGCTGTCCTCTCAGAGCTTGGTAAGAGAAGCAGCTACCCGGATGGGGCGGGGCAGGGAAGTTGTGCAGGCGGGACCGGCACTCACTGGACCAAGTGGGAGGCCAGGACCTCTTTGCAGATGGGCTGTTCAGCCAGCGTCAGCCAGAACTCACAGGCCTCCAGCGCCACATTCTCATCGTGGTCCTGGGTCCTCTGCAACATGTACTGCAGTGGGAGAGAGACGCTGAGGTCCAGCTGGTGGCAGGGGGTGGGACCCCACCCACCTGGCCCCCAGCCGCACCTGGATGATGCTGTGCATGTGGGGAATGAGCCGGTCGATGCGGACCTCCAGCAGCATCACCAGCGCCCGGCACACATTCTTGCGCACCTCGGGGTCGTCATCCACGGCCAGGGCGAACAGGTGCTGCGGGGAGGATGGGGTGAGCGGCCACAGGAGGCCTCGGGGGCCCTCGGTGCACCCAGTTCCCTGGGGGGATCCCGCAGCCCACCTCGATGAAGGTGTCAATGTTGTCCATCAGCGCCTGGGCCCGGTCCATGATGAACTGGTTCACACAAGCGATGGCGTGGGACCTGGGGGAGGGCAGCGGACAAGACATAGGGCTGGGGGCTCTCCCCGAGCAGCCCCGCTGCCCCCTGCTCCCCTCTGTAGCCCTGGGAGCTGTGCACCCACCGGATCTTGGGGCTGCAGTGTTTGAAGAACTGCAGGAACTTGGGGATCATGATGTTGAGGGGCCGGTTGAGGGCATCGCTGTCCAGGAGCTCGGACGAGTCCTCGCAGATCTTCTGCAGGGCGCCGAAGGCTCCCTGGGGGAGAGGGAGGGCAGGAGTGGGTGGCTGGCACGGTGCCCCTGGGCCTCTCCCCTCGCTCCCACTGGCCTCCACCCATTCCCACCTCGCACGTGTTGTAGTCCTCGGAGTTGAGCAGGTTACAGAGCTGGGGCAGTAGCTCTGGCCACATCTGCAGCTCCCCCTTGGAGGCGATGGTGGTGATGAGGATACCTACGGCGGCCAGGGAGGGAACACGGCCTCAGACTGGGCGGGCGCCCCAAGCACACACGGTGACCAAGGCAGCCCTCCAGAGCCCAGGACAAGCTACTCCCCAGCAGACAGGCCAGGGGAGGCCTGGGGTGGTCTCTAGAGGATTCTTATTTTTTTTTTGGTGGGGAGGTGTGGGTCACACCTAGTGGTGCTCTGATCTCCTGGTAGGTTCAGGGGACCCTATGGGGTGCCGGGGATTGAACCCACTGTACTGTCTCTTTGGCCCCTCTAGGGGGCTTTCATGCCTCCTCTCTGGTGTTGGGGCCACATCCAGCAGTGCTCAAGCTACAGGAGCCCCAACCCTAGCACTGAGCTTAGCATGACCCTGAAACAAGCCAGCAAGCAAGCCGCTGGCAAGGAAAGACAAGCACCAGTGTTTCTGGGGAGCAAAGCACCTGAGGGGAAGGACACCTCGCTGAACACCCTGCTAACCCTCAGTGTCGGCAGTCAGGAGGGCTGGGTCGGATCATCCCTGTCCCCCGAGGCCACCCAGCCAGAGCCCAGCCAGGACCCAGCATCCCTTGGCATACGTGTGTACCACCCGCCAGAGCCAGCAGGGCAGTTTCTCGAATGTGGGGCTGGGGGCCTGCCCTGACCATCGTAGTGCCTCAGTTTCCCCACTGAGGCTCAGCCCTCACCGATGGTGGCACGGATAAGGGAGGATGCGTCCCCAATGTTGTTGAGACACTCCTGCTTGATGAAGTCAGCCACAGGCGGCGGGAAGCTCTGGTAATGCGCCTTCACGTTGTTCTTGAGGATGAGGCCGCTGAGGGAGCGCGTGGGCTCATCTGGGGGGAGGGGGGCACTCAGGAGGGGCCCGGGAGAGTGCGGGGGCCAGCCGGCCTGAGGGGAACCCAGAGCATACCTTCTGACTTGAGTCGGGTCAGCACGAAGATCAGGTAATTGTTGAAGTCTGGAAACTGGTTCAGTTGTTTGAGTTTCTGCCAGGTCGTTAAGGCATTAAGGGATTTGGGTGGGGGGGCGTCCCCCCCACAGCCCGCATCTACCCCCAACCTAAGAGCAAGCGAGGATCAGCAACCCCCTGCCTTCCAACCACCACAACCTGAAAGAGGGAACGTGCTGGGGATGAAGTCCTAAATATAATCTCTTAATGGCTTTCAGTTTGGGGGTGCCTGAACCTCAAACCTTCGAGTGACAAGCACAGTGGAGATGCCCCGAGTAACACCCCCCAGTCCCTTAACTCAGGTGGAGAGTTCAATCCCCTCCCCAAAAGAAAGAAACCTAAATCGCGTTAGATCTACTTAACCCAACCCCCAAACCCTTCTGATGTCTGGCGGGAGAAGACCCCAATTCTAATCCCTCATCCTGCACTGCCGATCGGGCCCCAAGGGGCCTTCTCTGGCCGTCAGGGCCGCTAGTGGAAGCCGGCTGGTAGGATGCGTCCTGGACGATGCGCTGCGTGGCCGTGTTGGGCGACTGCGAGTCTTTGAGAAGCTGCAGGACCTGCTGCAGGCCCTGCTCGTCCGGCTGCCAGTCCATAGTGCAAGGCGAGCTGCGAGGGGGTGGGAGCCCGGGTCAGCGCTGGGCCCGGGGGGAAGGGAGGGGTCTCCTCATGAGCCGCAGGTTGAGCCTCCCTGGGGCCCAGCACGCTCCGGGCGGCCAGGCGAGGTGGCAGGACCACGCCTGCACCCAAGCGGGGTCTGGGCCGGCCGTGCCAGCCCGGGCGGCGCAGTCCCGGGATCGAACGCCGGCGCGGGCGGGTTGGGGGGCTGTGGAAGCGCGCACCGGAGGCGGCGGTGGCGGGGCCGAGCCGCCGCCCCGAGGTTTCGGTTTCCCGTGCAGCGGCTAGAGCTGAAGGCCCGGGCACCTCCGCATTCAAGAGGGCTTTCCCCAGACCACCCAGGCGCTGGGCCGCGCCACCGGAAGCTCCACCTAGTCCTCAAGCCCAGCCTCCGCGCTCGGCCACCTCCCCGCCGCCTCCTGCCTTGCGCCGGCCCAGGTGCGGGGTCCCCGGGCGCGCCCGGGCGCTCCCGACCGTCCCTCTCGCCCCCAACACCTCCACGCCCAGGCCCGGGCCACACACCCGTCCCCTCCCGCCCTAGCCGGAAGCCTTTGGGGAGACTCCCTTCCGTCAGGCCCGAAGCAACCCCCAACCCCAAAGGGCCTCTCCAAGGCCCTCCGCGCAAGGCCCTGCTCGCTTTCCCTTTCGCCCCCTCCCCCAAGTGGCCCTAAGTCGCGCTGGCGCGGATCGCCCCAAGCTCTCCCCAGTCAAGTTCGAGCGAGCCCCAGTGCGCATGGCACCTCCGGCCGGAAAGCCCCGCCGAGTCCCATCTCTGCAGTTTCGCCGCCCCCCACGAGGTATTGTGGCCGACCACCGCCCGGAGCATAGCCCCCAACGGAACCCGGCGACTCCCCGAAGTCGGACCCAGCACAGCCGTCTAGACCGGAGTCGGCCACCCCACCCGCCCAGGGAGCAGCCCCCCGAACTTTTCACTGCGGCCTCCCCCAACCGGAGCCCTCCGAGCCCCGCCAAAACAACCGCCACACACCCGGGCTCCCGGAGGCGTCCCCCCGTCCGGCCCAGAGCAATCCCAGGCGCTTCCTCCACCCTCCACCCTCCAGCACGACCCCAGCCGCCCCACTGGCCCGATTCTCGCCGCTCCGGGACCTGGCCCCATCCGAGGCCCCACCCCCTCGAGGCCGGCTCGGCTTTCCCCCTCCCCCGCCCCGGCCGGTTCTCGATGCTTTGGCAAATCGGGCCCAACTGGGTTCTCGGCCTTTCCCGGTCAGGCGCGGCCCCGACGTCCCCAGGCCGCGCGCGGCGTAGACCCGTAGCTCCGTGCGGGTCGACCCGAGCCGGTCTGGCTCTGAGAAGGCCCACTTACCCGGCCCGGGGCGGCGGCAGCAGCGCCAGGCGATGCGGCTTCTCCAGAGACTCGCGCGGAAGGAGGGAGCCAGGAAAGGAATTAAAAAAAAAAAAAAGAAAAAAAAGAAAAAAAAAGAAAAGAGAGGAAACGCGGCCGGGGATGAACTGCGGCGGCTTCCGTACGCCGTTCAAACTGGCTCAGCCCAGCCAATCGGAAGGCGCGGCCGCCGCACGTGGCCCGGCGACTGGAAGACCCTAGCCCCGCCAAGCTTGAGTCACGTGATCTAAGAGTTGGCGGCTCCTCTGGGCACCTCTGGCCCCCGGGTCCTCCCGGCATCTCGTTTCCTCCGCGTCTCCCCGTCGGCCTGACAGCCGCTCTAGCCAGAGCCGCGAGTTTGCGACACGTGGTGACTTTTGGCATGTGCTTGAACCGGGATCGACCGGCCACGACCAAGTGCTTCCGATCGCCCCCTCCTCGAGTAATTGAACAGTTTTTCCCTCCCCCTCCCGCCTCCTGTCTCAGAGCATGCTTGGGATTGAGTACAGAACGTGCCCGCCTGGAGAGAGCAGAGGGGGCTGAGCGTGGGGTGGACTTGATCCCCTGGAGACAAAGGGAGGAGCGCCCGATGGGCTAAGCTTCTGCGAAAGCCTCCACTCATTTTTTGGGGTTTATTTTCCAATCTTATCTTGGCAATTTTGACTGGGCATGTGTGGGGCGGGGTTAGGGTGGGAGGAAGCTCACAAATATATAGCTTTAAAACGAACGAATAAAATGAACGCGGAGTTAAAGGCCTAATCCCATTCTCTACCGGGTTGAAGTGGAACAGCCCAGGAAATCTGGGTATGCGTGCCCAGGGTCCGGAAGGAAGCTCTCCGTGATAACTGTGCCATTGGAGTATTAGCTACAGCCTCTTTCCGTTCCCGGTGGAGCAGAGCAGAACAGGGAGGCGCGGGGGACACTGGGAAGGCGGGCGGGGAGGCGGGGGCGTGTTACCTCTTGCCACTCTGAGCTTGCTTTCCCACGTGCCAACGGCTACTAGAGTAGTTTGCTGGGTTAGAGATAACTGAGTTAATCCGATCCTGCCCATTCTATATTGTTCCTTGAAAACGTGGGTTGTTTTTTTTAATTACCTCTCGAAGCCCAAGGTCTTTTTTTCACTGTAACCAGCCCCTCCCTAAAACAGTATTTACTGAATCAACCAGTCCTTATTCCAGAGGAAAATCCAGCCCTGACCCTTAACAGTACTTTACAGAGTCTGGAGAAATGAACTCTGCGTTCATTTCTACCCTGACTTCTAAATGGGGGAGCCGATTTCTCAGCCCACTGTCTACGTCAGTCTCGGCGCCCTTCATGCCTTAATAGCAGACCCCTTAGGCCTCCTGCAGAGCACTGTGGCCTCGCAAGTCTGAAAAGAGTCAGATGGCGCCCAATTCCACTCCGAAGATACGGGTAGAGTACCTGAAAGAGCAATAGCGAGCTCCACCCCAGCGGACAAGCAGAAACCCCGCTAGAGATCCACGTGGGGGGCGGCGCGGGAAAAGCCTCTTCCTACGCATGTGCGGTGCCTTGGGAACTACAAGTCCCATCATACCCTTTGCGCGCGTATTGTCGTGCTTCGGGGCCCTTTCGAGGTTCCTCTAGTGTTGTGAGCTGTGGGGCGGGGGAGGGGAGGAAGAGGGGAGGAGATTGTAATGCTTAAAGACCCCTAGCCGAGCGTGTAGATCTCAAGGAAGGAGTGAAATTTAGGGGCTGGACCTGAGCTGGAAGTCTCAGCAGAAGGTACTACCTGTAGTGTTTTGAGTCACACCATATGGGATGCACCCTTCCCACTGTACTACCTGTCCTACCCTGTGGAATGTGGGGGGGAGGGGCGTTTTTACTCAGGATAAGGGCCGGGGAGATGCCCGGGAAACTCCCCTACTAGGTCAGGTTTCAAACCTCCCTGCACTAGCCTTGAGAGGGAGCTGCCTGCTCCGAGGCTTATGGTAGTCCTCTTCCCAGGGGCTGAATTTGAGTGATGGGTCCTGCAGGGCTCTCCCTGGGTCCCTCGTTCGTGGAACACCTACTGGTGTCTCGGCGTTTCCAGCTGTCATTCTCCCGACAGTCTCGTGCATGGCCAACCAACTGCCTTCTATGCTCCACGCGCATGGAAGCCCAGGAAGCTGATGCACAAGCCTCAGTGGGAGATGAGAAGCACTTTTCGGTTGGCCTCAAAGGGCCCCTCATTAGAGTGTAAGGGTGGGAGGAAGGAGGTTGGGGACCCTGAGCATTGCCCTCTTTCCAGCTTGTGTATTCACCCGGCTGACAGGGTAGAACATCCAGCAAGGCTAGGTGACTTACCCAGGGGCACACAGTGAATGCGCACCAAGGTCGTTGGCAGGCCAAACTGCTTTGGAGTACCCAGCCCCTTCAGACTTTGCCCAGGTGCGAGAGGAGTGCTCTGGGTTCAGAAGCCTCTGCCTCCTGCCACTCCCGACCACAGGCAGGGTGACCCACATCTTCTTCAGCTGCTTTTTGGAGAAATCCAGTGGAGTGGTGGTAGCCTGCTGCTGGGCAGGAAGGGTGGGGCACTGGCTTCCCATGTCCCCTCCTGCTCCTCGTACCCCAAGGCAAAAGTGACACCTGCATGCTCCCCCATTCCCCTAAGTCTGTGGGAGACCTCTGAGCCCAAACAGGAAAGCAGCCAACCCGCTAAAGGCAAAGTTTCTCCTAAAACCCTCATGGGGTTAGGGTCTCACCTGGTCCTTGGGCAGGCCAGCCCCCACTGCCCCTCTCCTTGGAAGATTTAAATCTAGTCACCTCCTGAGCTGGAGCAATAGCACAGCGGGTAGGGCGTTTGCCATGCACACGTCCGACCCGGGTTTGATTCCCAGCATCCCATATGGTCCCCTGAGCACCGCCAGGGGTGGTTCCTGAGTGCAGAGCCTGGAGTAACCCCTGTGCATCGTTGGGTGTGACCCAAAAAGAAAAAAAATCTAGTCACCTCCTGGATCTGGCTGTCCCAATCCCCCATTCAGCTGTTTCCCCTAGAGTGGCCCATCATGGTAGCTGTCTTCTCTCTCAACTGTCACAGAGCTGGCAGCTCCAGACATCCCACCCCTAACCCTGGAAGGCGGGATCTGGCCCAGTCTGAGAGGCCAGGCTGGTCCCACCTAGGCCTCCCGAAGCCTGGGGGTGGGTTCTCCACATTCCTGGGTGGAGAGGCCCTGAGGTGGGCTGGGGTGCTGGGGGCCACGCCAGGATGTGCAGTGAGGCCAGGACACCATGGTGGAGCCCCTGCAGGCCCAGCCCCAGCCAAACAGTACCCACAGCCCAGCCCCTCCCATGTGACCCCCATGGAGTTCAGGATCCCTATCCCCCTTATTTATTTCACACCCACCACAAAGACACAAGTGGGTCCAGACACAGGGGCCCAGTAAGATTGGCACCCTGGTACCCCATACATTCCTCCTGAGCACAGCTCAGTGTGGTCCCCAAGCCCACCTCACCCCAAAGAACGCATGCGATTTCTTCTCAATTCCAATCCCCTTGAAAAGCTGCTTCTCACTGAAGAGAAGGTTCCAGGAGCCGAGAGGAAGGCCCAGTGCACCCTGGGTGTGGCCCCAAACCCAACCTAATCAACAAAGTTCTGTGATGGGGAGGTAATTTAGGGTTGGAGGCACCCTGAGTGCAATTCCCAGCACCCGGTGCCCTACCCCCAGAATAACATTCCAGCCCCCCACTACAGCACTCCGCTTGACGCCCCCTGTGCAGGCATCCTCAGTGGCCTGGTGTGGGCACTCTCTTGCCACACCCTAACTTTGCCTGTAACAGGGTATCTGCCCTGCTCCCCACTCCCCTCCTGTCCTGCATCTCACCCACCCAGGAGGGCTTCGTCTTCGCTGTCTCTTGCCACCAGGCTGTCCTTCCCCGGTCCCTCCAGCTCTGTGTGTGTGGGGGCGAGGGGAGCAGTGACAGGTGGCCAGGCGGGTGCAAGCCACAGGCCACTAAGAAGCACACCAGACACGCGCTCCGTGCCAGCACTAAGTCAGGTCTTTACTTCCCAGAAGTGATGGCCGGGGGGCGGGGGAGAGGAGGACAGAGGCGAGAGCGGGGGGGGGCGGGAAGGCAGGGGGGCAGTGAACCACTGCTCTCTGAGTCTCAGGAGGCAAGTGCTCAGGTACAAAAGAGTCCCGGAGAGTGGGCCGCGGCCACGGGCGCCGCCGGGCTGCTGCGTGAACAGTCCTCGGGGAAGGCCAGCGCCGCCGCGGTCAATACTTATGTACAGCGCAGAGTCCGGCCACAGGCAGCGGGGGCTCATTTCACCAGGGGCCGCGTCTTATCGTCGTCGCCGCACTGGTGGGCTTTGTACTTTTTCACCTCCGCCATGTACTTCGCCCAGGCGTCGCCTTTACTTGTTAATACCTGGGGGGAGCGAAAGGGAGGGGAGGGGAGGGGGCGGGAGGACACAGCGAGAAGGTGGAGAAGAGGCCAGAAGACCCGATTAGGGCGGTGCCAACGCCCCCCAGCGCAGGCCCAGTGGCGGGCAGGGGGCTTGGGGGGAGGCCACGGACATGCCCAGCTGGCTCACCTCATCCTCCGTCTTCTGCTTCTTGGCTACTATTCCCGTCTTGAGGGCTAGTTTGTTCCCGCCTCTGCGCCTGCCCACCTGGGTGAAGGGACAGAAGACTGCAAGGGTTACCGGCGCCGGCCCGCAGGCGGCAGAGGCCCGCTAGACCTTCCTAGCCCGGCCCGGTGGCCCGTCCCGACGCGGCGCCCAGCTCCGCCGGCCGGCCGACCTGCGCAGCAATCAGAGAGGAGCACAGGACTCAGCACCCACACCCAGGGGAGGTGCCGGCTCCATCCTGGACGCCCGCTCCGGTGCCCGCAACACACCCCGTCAGGGCTTGACCAGCCCTGTGGATGCCCCGCGCCCAAGGTGAAGCCTAAAGACACCCCTTTCCAGGAAGAGCAGGTAAGCAGTAGGAGAGGCCCGAGCCCCTTGTCCTTGTTGGGGCACAGCGGGCCAGACGCGGGGTGCGGGCAAGCAAGTACCCTTGGCCACCAACGGACAAGCACCCGAGTGCCGCACCCGCCTCTGGGGCTTCCTCCCTGCCATCCACTGCCTGAGGAGCTCCTAAGGTGTGCACACTCAGAGTCCCACTCATCCTGGTGTCCACCCCTCCCACGAGGCCTTCACTACCCCAGTGAGGCCAACCTCCCTCCATTCATAACCTGCAGAAACCTGAGTGTTACTCTCAAGTCAGTTTCTTCTTCTCCGCCTGCATCTCGGGCGGGATCCCCGAGACCACTCCACAACCCTCTCAGGATTCCTGCAGCTCAGAGCTGTTTCTGGGTTTAGCACGGAATCCTTCAACCTCAAGCCAGCAACGTTTCAAACCTGGCCCTTTCTGGAGACCACAGCTAGAGTACAGCGGGGAGGGCCTTTGCCTTGCATGCTGCCCTCCCTGGTTCCATACGGGACGTACGGTGCCCCCAGCACTGCCAGGGGTAATTCCTGAGTGCAGAGCCAGGAGTAAGCCCTGAGCATAGCTGGCTGTGACCCCAAACGTCAAAACAAAAACAAAACTGGCCCTTTCGAGGCGGGGAGGAGGGCATGGCTGCCCCGTTGGGGCGGAGCTGAGTGCGACCCTAACCAGAGTCCCTACTGCCCCTCCCCCAGTTCTGACAACCAACGATGGTCTCCAGGCTTGGCCAAAGTGGCGGGAGGTTGTGGAGGGAGAATCGTTCCCAAATGCCAACCAGAATGCAGCCCTTCCCAACGTCTGAACGGCCGCCGTCGCTGAGCCCGCGTCTCCGGGGAGGGCAAGGATGCAACTCGGGACAAAGGCGTCCGGGAAAGCCGCAGGTTTTCCTGGCAAGTGCCCCCTGGGCAGCCCCAATACCCGGTGCAATTCCCAGCACTGGGGCGAAGGAGACACAGAGAGATCAAGCGCTTTCGCTGGGGCCACTCAGCCGGCGGAGTGGGTCTCTGGAGCCGCACCACGCGACCCCTAGCTTGAAACCCGGCCCTCCCACCCCCGGCTTCTGCTCGGGGAAGGGGTAGAAAGTTCAGGCACAACCCAAAGCGGAACCCTGGCAATTCTGGGGCTCCAGCCCCCGAGCGCTGGCGCCGAGACAATTTCCCAGTCCGCGAGAACAGGCTGTCGGGGGGGGGGGGGGGAGGGGCGGCGGACTCTCCCCCCGCCTCCGCCCCCGGATCGCTCTCGGGTCCGTCGGGATTCCGCCTCCTCCACGGGAGACCCGGCCGGCCCCCGCTCGTCCAGCTCCGAGGGGCCCCGGCCCCCCGCTCTCGGGCCCTCGTTCCCCTCGTCCAGGCCGGTCCTGGCGCCCGCCCCCACCCCCGCGGCTCCTTACGAAGCTGAGCGTCGGACCCGGGCCGCCCTTCCTCTTCGGATCCCCGGGGCCCGCGGCGCCGCCGGCCGGTTGGTCGGGTCGCGGCGGGCCCGGGGGCGGCTCCTCCTGCCGCTGCCGCTGCTCCTCCTCCATCTTCCGCTTGAACAGCTCCAGGAAGCTGCCGTCGTTGGCGAACAAGTTCACGCCGCCCGACACTGGGCTCGAACCCGCTTCGTCGTCCCCGCTCTCAGGAGACGTCCCCGGCCCCGACTCGGCCCACCGGCCCCCGCCGCCGCCGCCCGCGGGGCCCGGCGCCTCCCGGCCCGGAGGCTCCGCCCGTCTCCCTCGGGCAGCCATTTTGTCGCCAGGTGCCGCGCAAAGGACTCCGGGAAGGCCGCTCCGGCCCCGCGCTCCGCGCCCGACTCGCCGGGTCCCAGGCAATGCATGCTGGGAATCGCGCTACCGCCCCCCCCCCACACTCGCGCGGCGGAGGCGGGGCCAGATGGGCGGGGAGAGGGCGGGGTCGGCGCCGCTGTCCTTCCCCCGCGTAGTTTTTCGGAAACTGCTAGCTTTGGGCTGGCGCCGCGCGGACCGTGTCTCCCAGAGAATGAGGCCGCCGTCTAGATCCGAGGCAGGAGCTGGCTCCCCGGAAGGAGGGAGGATCCCGCTTGGGACGGGAGGAATATTAGATTTCCAGGGCTCCAATTGTCTTCTGTCTCGAGGGATCATTTTCTTCTGAGGCTGTGTGTTTAGCTTTGAGACCGCGGAACTAGGTCCCCAACTAGATCTAGAGGGTGTATCTACGTTTGGACACCACCCCCCACTCCCCGAGTGGAAAGGGAGGTATTTCTGGGTTTGGGTGTCTGTCTCTGTGATGGTCTTTGGCACACAACTGGCTCCACCGTACGAGCGCCCCGGAGCTAGGGCTCCTATCTTATAAAGATGATTGACTGGAGTGGTCCGATGAAGTTGAGGGGCATTTCTAGGCTGGAGCCTGCATCTAAAGGTAAGAGAAAGTATCCGCTAGCGGTATAGGACCCGGGGTGTATTTTTGCACCGGGGAGAAATTCAAACAGAAAATTGGTCGAACTGGAGTCTTCCCTTCAACAGCGAACAATATGCAAGAAGGTGATAGGGAAGAGTTCCTGCTTCTATAGTCAAGAGTACACTTTGCAGGGGTGATCCCTGCACAGGGGCTCAGGCTATACTGGCCGACGATCTGCGGACCTTACCCACAGCCGGAATCGTTTTACCACCCAATCGCAGCCCTGGGGACCTATATCCAGTGAACTCATCAACTGGTTGGTCACCGATTCGCTTCGAGACATCGATGGCTCAAAAGCATATAATAGTAGAGACGGACATGGGGAGATGCTGGAACCCAGTCTGGCGAACTGGAAAGAAATGACCACAAAATGTTGAGCCTATGTAATCAGGGCTGCAAGAACCTCGCGCGTAACTTCACCGTTTGGCTGGTTGCTAAGGAGAGGTCCGCGGCTACGGAGCGTGAGTTTGATTGGTTAAAGTCAGAAAATCTGTAGCCAGTAAGAGGAGAGCTACTGGATGCAGGGTCCAATCAGTGAAGGGGAGTATCTGGGGCCATACCAATGTGTTGACTAGCAGGAGGAGTCCATGAAGGACCACAGGCAAGAGGCCGAAAGGGTGGCCCTTGAAAGGAGAGAACATGGGAACTTTGGCTTCTATTATCATTCAGAAGCCAGGCCAAAAGGACGTGGATGCCGGCTTCTGGCCTGAACGAGGATGAGGGAGGGAGCGCCCTCCTGCAGGGGCGCTGAATGGTGCGCTCCTCCGGGTCACGTGAGCCGGTTCCAAGATGGCGGCGGGGGTGGCCGGGTGGGGGGTTGAGGCGGAGGAGTTCGAGGATGCGCCTGATGTGGAGCCACTGGAGCCCACGCTCAGCAACATCATCGAGCAGCGCAGCCTCAAGTGGATCTTCGTCGGGGGCAAGGGTGGCGTTGGCAAGACCACCTGCAGGTGAGGAGGCTGCGGTGGGAGCCCGGATGGGCGGGTGGGATGTACCACTTGATGAGGGGGAGACCAGGGACCGTCGTTTCCCACTCCGTGGCGGGTCTGAAATCCGGGCTGGGGTCTTCAAAGGGTGACCTCTCCGGAAGTTACCCGGGACAGATGGACGGTCCCTCCTTAGGGCCGGTCCGGCACCCCCTAAGTTAGACCATGCTGGTGGGATTCCAGGGACAAACCACACCGTGAACCCAGCGCTTGGGGGGGAAGCCGGGGCGGGGATGAGAGGGCAGGGAGATGACCCGAGCAGCTGGACCAGACGGGGCTGAGGACAGGGTTAGGAGCACCGAGGTCTGGTCTAGACCCGGATGAACCCTGCTCTTTTATGCCCTGCGTGGGGTTGGGGTTGGAAGAATGCTTGTATCGCCTGTGCCAGGGAGCTGGAGAAGGGGAGAGACTCACCTGCCCCGTTGGACTGAACCACCCTGAGTTTAGCCGGGAGATCTCTTAGCTTAGCCTAGAGTGAGAGTCCGGCATGGAAGCTCAGTGGGCTGCACAGCTGGCCTGTGGTTCTCTCTGCCCAAAGAAGGAGGAAGCTCACAACTGCATGAACTGTCAGGCTGGCCAGCTGGAGGGACCCAGGTGCCTTTGCGGGACTGAGGCTTTGCCCTCCCCATTATCCACTTCCCTCCGCCCATCCTGGTGTGAGACTTGGCCTCCCCCTAGCAAACCCCCGGAAGCAAATCTTGACTCCTCCCTCCCCAGCTGCAGCCTGGCCGTCCAGCTGTCCAAAGGGCGGGAGAGCGTGCTCATCATCTCCACGGACCCCGCCCACAACATCTCCGATGCCTTTGACCAGAAGTTCTCCAAAGTGCCCACCAAGGTCAAAGGTTACGACAACCTCTTCGCCATGGTGAGTAGCACGCGGCAGGCTCCACGTTCTCGCAATAGCTGCTTCTTCCGGTTCCTGCGAACACCCCCGCCCATCCCCCTGCAGGCGCCTTGCACCGCTGCCACCCCTCCAGCGGTGTCCCCTACCCGAACTGCCTGAGGGCATAGGAACTTGGAATGTTGGCGGAGCAGGAAGTGGGTGAGAGACCCGGACTGAGTGAGTGAAAGGGCAACATCATGGTAATCAGGGAGAGCCTGCTGCCAACCTACTGTTGCCCTCAGCGTGCTTTTAATGGCAAGTTTAATGAGAAATGATCCAGGTTTAGCAAGGCAATATCAAGTTTCCTATTTCTTTAACTCCCCTCCCCTGCAGATGTCAGAGGGCACAGACCCACGCCTGGCCGCGCTGCCCCCACATGTGCTTGCACACAAGAATGGAGGGCAGCGCGCCTTCGGTGGCCGCTCACCCCTCTGTGCTCACCGGGATTGGATACTGTAATCTCGGTGGTCATGGGGATTGGATGCTTTGGTCGAGGTGCTCACTGGTCAGAGGATGCGTTAGTCACGGTGCCCATGGATGAGTGGACGCTGTAATTGTGGTATTCACTGGCGATTGGCGACTTTAGTTCCAGTGTTCACTGGTAATTGGACGCTTTAATTTTTTTTAACTGCTTTAATTGCGGTGCTCACCGACGATTGGCTGCTGTACAGTCCTTCACCAGTTACAGTGCTCACCGGGGATCAGATGTTTTCCTCACAGTGCTGACACACCCCTGGCTCCATCCAGGATCACCCGTAACAGAGCTGCCCAGGGTCCTGCCCAGAACGTAGGGCAGCACCAGGGATTGAATCCACAGCCTCACGCTTACAAGGCTTTTGTTCCTCCAGGTCTGCAAATTCACTGTTTTTTTTTTCTTTTTGGGTCACACCCAGTGATGCTCAGGGGTTCCTCCTGGCTCTGTACTCAGGAATTACTCCTGGCGGTGCTCGGGGAACCATATGGGATGATGGGAATCAAACCCGGGTCGACTGCATGCCAGGCAAATGCCCTACCCTCTATGCTTTCGCTCCAGCCCCGCAAATTCACTTTTTGCGAGTTCCCTGGCTGCCAGGCCAAGACTGGGTTGTTAAGTCAGGAGTGGTGTGAAGAGACAAGCGGATGGAACTGGGGTGGGTGCAGAATGTTTGGGGGCCCCTCCTGGCCCTGCTGGGTCCAATCACTTCCAGGTGGCCGGGCGGATGGAACCCAGTGCTTCTGCATTGCATCCTCGGCAGCTCCTGTGCTCATTTCCTGTCCTCTCGTGTAAAATTCCGTGACCACTCTGGGGTTCAGGCCAACTCCTTGGGCCAGCAGGAGGACCCATCCCCACTCCACGTGGCACCCCGCACTCCCCTCTCGCCCCCAGGAGATAGACCCTAGTCTGGGCGTGGCCGAGCTGCCTGACGAGTTCTTCGAGGAGGACAGCATGCTGAGCATGGGCAAGAAGATGATGCAGGAGGCCATGAGCGCCTTCCCCGGCATCGACGAGGCCATGAGCTACGCCGAGGTCATGAGGTCTGGCCTTGGGCCGGGCGGGGTGGATGAAGGGCCGGGGCAGGGGCGGGCGGGCGCCCCCGCAGCCCTGACGCCCATCTCCTCCCCGCAGGCTGGTGAAGGGCATGAACTTCTCCGTGGTGGTGTTTGACACGGCGCCCACGGGCCACACCCTGCGGCTGCTCAACTTCCCCACCATCGTGGAGCGGGGCCTGGGCCGCCTCATGCAGATCAAGAACCAGATCAGCCCTTTCATCTCACAGGCAGGCAGTGGGGAGGCGGGCAGAGGGGCACCCCTGGGCCCACCGCAGCCTGTGACCCCGCTTCCCAGTTTGTGTGTATGTGGGGGGGCTCGCAGGGCCTGAGGACTAGCCCCCTTGTGACCCCTAAGGGGGTTCGGAACGGGAAGCTTGTGTTCTGGAACTAGGCCACCCAATGTGGTTCGGGACTTGGAACTTCGGGACCCCAAGCAAGCCCCTGGGCTTCCCTGGGCCTCCCCTTCCTCGTCAATCAGAACCCGTGAGTGCCTCCATGACCTGTGAGTAGCGGGCCAACCCAGTGCTCTGCATTTCTGTAGGTACCCCCTTCTTCGCTTATAGGGGCCCCCTCAAGGACCGTGGGTCTGGAGCACCTTCTCCTCTCTAGACACTGCCCCCGCACATCCCTGCTCTTAGCACAGGGCCACTCAGGTTTGGCCTACAAGTGTAGGAATCAAGAGACGGGATCCCAATGTAGGTGGCTGTAGGTGGCTGCAGGTGGCCTCGAATCAGGCCCTCGCCCCAGGGCACCCTACACTTTACAGGGCAGAGCAGAGATGTGAGGGCCGGAGCAATAGGACAGCAGGGAGGGCGCTGGATTTGCACATGGACAACCTGGGTTCGGTCCCCAGCACCCCATAGAGCCCCTAAGCTTCGCCAGGAGGATTCCTGAGTGCAGAGCCAGGAGTCAGCCCCAGTACTGCCGGGGTGTCAGCCTCAGCTCAGCTTGTCAGCCACCAGCCTGCCGTGTGAGGGACTCGGCAGATCCCCTCCAGGGGGGTTCTGGGCCGCCATGAACCTCCCATGTTCCTCTGCAGATGTGTAACATGCTGGGCCTTGGGGACATGAATGCCGACCAACTCGCCTCCAAGCTGGAGGAGACGCTACCCGTGATCCGCTCTGTCAGTGAGCAGTTCAAGGACCCTGTGAGTTTCCGGGGGGCGTGGGGGGCAGCAGAGGGGGGACCCCCTGGTCAGGACCCGCCCTCAGCACCCAGGGGGCCTCCCCGCTCCCCGCACCCCTGTAGGAGCAGACCACGTTCATCTGCGTCTGCATTGCCGAGTTCCTCTCACTGTACGAGACGGAGCGGCTGATCCAGGAGCTGGCCAAGTGCAGGATCGACACGCACAACATCATCGTCAACCAGCTCGTCTTCCCCGACCCTGACAAGCCCTGCAAGATGTGCGAGGCCCGCCACAAAATCCAGGCCAAGTACCTGGACCAGGTGCGTCCTGGGTCCTGTGCCCGGTAAGGGGGAGGCTGGCCCCATCAGGGCCACTGGCCCACATACAGTTGGAAATCTTGAGTGTAAATTACTTGGGCCACAGATACACACACACACACACACACACTGGATTTGGGAGCAACTCTCTGTGGTTCTTGGGGAACTAACTCTGTGATGTTCATGGCAGGACTTGAACCCAGCCCTTGTACCCCCGCCCCAAATCCAGGGAACTCTCGGCAGCCTCCCAGGTGCTGAGACTGGAGGGTGCTCAGGTCTCTTTGCCCATGAGTTTGCCTCCACTGTGGGAATCAAGAGACGGGACCCCAGAAAGACAGCCCCCCACCCCCAAGCCCCCACTGTAGGGAGAGAAACCCAGGAGGTAGGTGGGGTGCCTGCTTGCACACGGCCGATTCCAGTTTAGTCAAAGCACTGAGTAGGGCCCCCTGAGCCGCACCTGGAGCAGTCACAGCGCCGAAGCAGGCATCAGCCCTGAGCACGGGGCAGGGGGCACCAAGGCCAAACAGTAGCACTATGAGGGACTCGCAGTGCACACAAGGAGCTCGGTCCCAGGCCAACAGTGGTCCCTGAGCACCCCCTCAAGATTTTTATTTTTTGAGTTTGATCCCTGGCACCACACCGCCCTGTCATGAGTGATTTCTGAGCAACCCCCTTAAAAATTTTTATTTTTGGTGGGGGGAGGGTCATATCCAGCAGTACTCAGGGCTTAGTCCTGACTGCGCTCATGGATTGCTCCTGGCGAGCTGGTGCACCCTGCAGGATGCTGGGATCAAACCTAGGTTCAGCTGTGCGCAAGGCAAACACCCTCCCCACTGTTCTATAGCGCTGACCTCAGCACCTCCAAAATTTTGGGAAAAAAAATAAAAAAATAAAAAAGCCTTGTTCGCCTCACCTGTGGCCTGTCCAGTCCAGATCTGTGGTCAAGGGCCAGCTGTATTATATCCCTGATTACCCACCCCACCCTACCCTACCCCTGCAAATTCTAGCCGGGAATGGGGCCAGGCCTGGTGGGGTCCCCTGGCCTCACCATCGCTCCATCCCTGTCTCCCCGGCCTGTGCCCGCAGATGGAGGATCTTTACGAGGATTTCCACATCGTGAAGCTGCCGCTGCTCCCCCACGAGGTGCGGGGGGCCGACAAGGTCAACACCTTCTCTGCCCTCCTCCTGGAGCCCTACAAGCCCCCTAGTGCCCAGTAGCGCCGCCGCCGCCCCCCACCCTGTCCCAGGGCCGAGTTTGCACAAAGTCCCCCCTTCCTCCAGAGGAGAAGGGGAGTCACTTGGGGAGGCAAGAAGGGAGCTCCATTCCCCCCGGTGGGGGTGGGGACTGGAGCTGCCCCCCACCTCTCCCCGCCTCTTGTTCCTCAATAAAATGACATTGAACCACGATGCGTTTTGCCTTGGTCAGGGTGGGGGGTGGGGGCCAGTGCCTCCCGGTGCAGTTGTTGTGCACTGCTCAAAGCCGCCACCCACACCTGGCAGACTCACAGCCAACTCAGCACTGCTGCTGACTCAGCACTGCCATCGCATGGTTTAGGAAGGGGGTACCGGTTCTGGCTCTGGAGAGTGTGGGGTAAAGTGGGGGGTGGGTCCCTCCTGAGGCTGTAATGCCAGAGGGTACAGTGGGACAAGAAAGCTACCACTGTCCGTTTGCTCCCAGGCTCAGAGCGTGGGAACTGGGAGGCTCCGGGCCAGCAGGAGGCCAGTGGGGAGCGGATTAGGCAGCAGCCAGCCCAGCCCTCCTGCTGTTGGGCTGGAAATTAGTGGGCACCCTGGGCAGAGCCCCTTTTGCCAAGCTGGGGATTAAGGATCTCCACAAACAGCCCCCCCAGCAGGGGACTGCACAAGGGGTTCTCATTAGGGGCCTGGAGAGCCAAGACTCAAAGCAGAGGTGCCTCAGTTTCCCCCGCTGCCGCACCCCCAGCCCTGTCTTCCCAGGTGGCAGTAGGCAGGTCCTTGGGCCAAGCCGTGCCTCTGCACCCCCACCCCGAGAGGAAGCACAGGGGGGCCCTGGTGGCGGCACAATCACAGGCCCACGGCTGTCTGGAAGGCACCAGGAAGCCCCTCACGGCCGCTTCCAGCGCTGCGGAGACTCCCAGGATGGGCCATGACCTTGGCTGTTAGCAAAAGCCCAGCTGCAGCTGGCTAGGAAGGGGGGCCCCCTTTTGCCCCCCCAGAGCAAGCATGAGTCAGGAAGGACTCAGGCCATGCACGCCTCTGGGCGTGCCGGGGTGTGTGTGAAAGGGGAACCCAGCCACGAGCCTAGACGTGTCCCCCACTCTTAGGCGTGGACAGGCGGGGCAGCCCAGGTAAACAGACACAGGGTGGGGTGGAGAACCTCAGACACCCAGCCCCCATGACAGGACAGGCCGGGTGTCTGCTGAGCCTCAGTTTCCCTTGCTGAGAAGCCGGCATCACAAATCAGCCTCATGCACCCTTGGGCTCAGAGGACCCTGGGAGATGAAATCCAGACGTGGCGGCTCCTGGAGTCGCGTGTTGGTTACTCGCAGGTGACCTGGCCCAGCCCAGTGGGGTCCTGCCATGCGCAATGCGTGGGGGCAGGATGGGAGCACGGAGAAGAGGAGAGCTGGAGAATGAGGGGGGTAGGGACCGGTGGTGGATGGGGCTGGTACCCTGGAGCCCGTGCCCTCCCTACGTCCTACAGTTAGCCCCTCACCCCCTTTTTATAGACCATTGGGCAGCTGGACAGCGGAGGCCCAGGTCCGAGGGTGGTAGCCCAGGCTGGCTCCTAATTACCCCGGGTGGGGCAGACATCTGCCGGGCTGGAACACCGAGTCCCGAGCACAGGGCTTCCGGGCGGGCTGTGCTGCGGGGAACCCTCTAGGTTAACACAGATCCAGATTCAAGGTGGCCTCCAGCTTAGGGCACCCCCCCGGACACCCACTGAGCGACCCCCCTCCGAAGCTCACACTGTACATTCCGTGTTCAAGGTTGGGGGTTGGGGAGTCACCTGGGGTGCATCTCCCTATTGGTGTCTGCAAAGGAGCCACCGGCCCCACGCCTAGACACACGCCATATACAGGGAACAGCCTTTAATCCCCAAAGTGCCTTCACAGCAGCTCGGAGGGGCACGTATGGACTGTGTGTGCTAAAGCAGGTGATGGGGCGGAGGTGTGCCCCAAATGTCAGTGAGACCTGAGTTTGTGGGTGATTGGGGAGAAGTTGTTATTATGGCTTTTTTTTCTTTTGGGGTCACACCCGGCAATGCGCAGGGGTCACTCCTGGCTCATGCACTCAGGAATTACCCCAGGGTGTTCAGGGGACCATATGGGATGCTGGGAATCGAACTCAGGTCGTCCATGTGCAAGGCAAATACCCTACCCGCTGTGCTATTGCTCCAGCCCCAACTATTATGACTTTTTTCTGGCAGAGGGGCTACTCCCAGGGGATGCTGTGTGGAGTCTGGGATAGAACGTAGGTCAGCTACGTGCCGGCCAAGTGCCTCCCCTGCTTGTGTGCCCGGCTCAGGAATTGCTGTGACACGATTGTGTCCTCGCCACAAAGGTGAGCCCAGGAGCTGCCCACTTCACTCTAAGCCCGACCCTCACCCCGTCTGCATGGGGCTGGGGCTGCATCTAGGGCCAGAGGAGCCTCTGGGGAGGCCCTGGGCAGGTGAGACCTGGGCTCCTTCCCCTCTGCCCAGTGCGCCTGCGCTGCAGTTTGTCCTCCCTCCAACTCCTCCCCCAAGAAAATGCCAAAAGGTAGGAGAGAAAAAGCCCTCCAAATCCAGAGAGGAAGCACAGGGGTGAGAGCATGGGTCTCCCACGCAGAGGGGAGATCCCCAGAACTACCTATGGTCCCCCCTGAACACAGAGCCAGTAGTCAACCCTGAGCACCGCTGTATATGGACCCTCCCCAAGGGAAAGAAAAAGCTCCCAAAAGAAGGACCCTAAAGAAGAAACCTCCGAAGAGTCCAAAAGAAGCTCCCCCTCCCCCTGCTTTTTGTGGGGAGGGGGGAGTTACAGCCTGCACTTAGGGATCCCTCCTAGCAGGGCTCAGGGGACACCATGGGGTGCCAGGAACCAAACCCAGGTTGGCCATGTGCCAGGCAAGTACCCTAGCCACTGTACTAACTCTCCCCCCCAATTTAAACCCCCAAGGCATTAGCCCCAGGGCAGTGCAGGAGACAGAGCTATCTGTCTCTGGTCACTCTGGGTCACTGTGCTTGCAGGAAGCTGCCTCTGGCTCTAGGATGTGATAATGTGTCTCTCGGTGCATCTTCGTCTTTAGTTTCCTTTGGTTTTTTTTTTTTTTTGGTGGGGGTTCCACACACAGCAGTGACCCAGGGTTACTCCTGGCTCTGCACTCAGGAATCATTCGTAGGATGCGGGGAGGATCCTATGGGATGCTGGGGATCGGACCTGGGTTGACCTTGTGCAAGGCAAATGCCTTCCCCACTGTCCTATTGCTCTGGCCCCTCATATGTGGGTTTGGGTGGGTGGGGGACATACCTGGCAGTGCTCTGGAGAGAGAACACCAGCCCGGGCTGCAGCCCTCAGAAGTCTCCCCTCTGTAACTGGGACTGTGTTCGATAAGCGGTGACAATGTAGTCAGCTGAGAGAGGAAGAGCACCTAGGGAGGGGCAGGGCTCCTGGGAAGGACCCTCCCCAAGGGAAAGAAAAAAGGGCACCTGGGAAGGAGCCCTGCCCCTCCCTTGGATCCCTGGACAGGCCAGTGACAGGCAGAGGGACCCAGAGGGGCGGGGAGGGACAGGGTGGATTTACCCCCAGTCCCAGGTGACAAACTGGCCTCTCCAAACAAAGTCTGTCAGCTGCAGAGGAGGCCTGGGGGCGGTCGGCTGGGCTCAGCCCGCCCATTCCTCACATGCCCTCACACCCAGGGTCTGTCTTCAGCCCCACCCAGTGCTGAAGCCACCGGCCCATCCAGTCCCTGTTCCGAGTGTCCCTGCACCCAGCCACCAGGTGAGAAGGACCAAGGCCAGGAGGACAGAGGCACCCAGAACAGACAGAGCCCCGGGGCGGGGAGTGGAGGGTTTATTAAGCTGCGGGGCAGACACCGGCCCCAGCCGGAGTTAAGGTAGGGGCAGAGACAGCGGGAGGTGGGGGTCATTAAACTTACATGGACAGGCTGGGCAGCTGCCGCATGTGGGGGCCTGGGGGTTGGGGACAGGAATTCAAGGGCTTCCGAAGGACAAGCAGGGACAATGGACAGACTGGGAGTGAGGGGCGGGGCGGGGGCAGAGGTGGGACTGGGAGAGCGGGCTTGGGGTCAGGCCGGTTTGGACGCCGAGAGGCTGCGGGCGCCGGGAGGAGACACGGCCGCCACGGTAAGGGGAGCGGGGGGAGGGGGCTGCTCGGAGCGTCCGAGAGCTGGAGGTGGCAGGGGACCAGGGCGGGGAGGCGGCGTCGGGCACTGGGGCACTGGCACCTAGAGCCCGGGGAAAGGGCGGCCTGTGAGCGGGCCGTGGGGAAACGGGGTCCGGGACGGCGTCGGGTCGGGCTGGGAGGACACGGAACCGGCCCGCCACCGAGCAGGGAGGAGACGGGGGCGCGGGCAGGCAGGGGCACGGGAGCAAGTCCCGCAAGTGGTCCCCAGTCGCGCCGTGTCCCTGCGCCCGCAGGACCGGGTGCCGCCGAAACCCGTCCCGTCGGGCCGCCGCGATGACCGTCACCTACACGGCGCGCGTGGCCAACGCGCGCTTCGGCGGCTTCTCGCAGCTGCTGCTGCTTTGGCGCGGGAGCATCTACAAGCTGCTGTGGCGGGAGCTGCTCTGCTTCCTCGGGCTCTACATGGCGCTGAGTGCCGCCTACAGGTGAGCGCGGGCGAAGGCGGGCGGCGGTCCGTGCTACGGGCTGCGGGCTGCAGGGGACCGAGCGGCGCGCGCCACTCACTGCCAGGCACCCCCCACCCCCACGCCCCGCCTTGCTCGCAGGCTGGTGTTGACCGAAGACCAGAAGCGCTACTTCGAGAAGGTGGTCATTTACTGCGACCAGTACGCCAGCCTCATCCCCGTGTCCTTCGTCCTGGGTGCGTCCTCTGGGTAGGGTGTCCCCGCTGCCGCCCCAAGGCGACCTGGATTCCTCAAGTCCAGCGTCCCCGCGCTCCCGTCTCCCCATCTCTCCCTCCTACAGGCTAGGCGGGGGTCCTCAGGAGACCCTGGACGCCGCCTGGTTATGGTTACAGAGATCCTGGGTCCACTCCCCCCGCTTGTTTCTGGAAACTTTGAGACTCCCAGCTGCGTCGATACTTTTTCTGGGGTGTGTGGTTAAGACCATACCTGGTAAAGCCACTGACTTTGAACTCAGAAAT